TTTTCATGTTGTTTATTATTGTAATGTAATGCTTTAAATGCATTATGCCACAGTTGTAAGTTTAGCTTCCTGTCCAGGGATTGTACTGCCCGGGCCGTGCAGTCCTTGGGAAGGGGGCAGTGTTACGAATTTGGTATTTAAAAAGCTAATGTTAGCTCAATTATAAATTAAATGGTTTTATTTCTCGCGCAGTGCAGCGCGTGACGAATATTAAAAGAAAGCTAAGCCAGAAATTAAAATACAAGAGCGCGTGCATTAAAAATAAATATCTCTTTTTGATTTCGAGAAAGTACTGGAAAATTCTAGCGCATGATTTTAAAAATCTATAAAAGGAGGAAAACATCTCAGTTTGTAGTTGTAGTTGCTTAGTTTGTTGTTGTTTAGAAAACTGCTCTTGATGATTGTAGCGAATTCGCGGATTAGCGTTCTTTAGCTGTTTTGAATTACGTTCTATTGGACATTTGAGTAGTTAAAAGATAACTACTGTGAGATATTGTAATACTGCATGATAATTTGAGAAAATTTAAGCATTTTTGTTGTGATAATAATAAATTTTTGTTCATTTTTCATCGGACTTGTGCATTCATTTCGTAACGAATCCGTACGCACGCAACAGTATTTAAAATTAAAGTTTAATGTACAAAGATTTGTAAATTTCAAGGACTGATCAATGGCCTGCTGACTGTTTCAAGTGTATAGTTTGAAGCCTTTGCGGCACAGTGTGTCCGATCTGGACACACCTAAAACCTTCCTTCTGTACGCACAGAAAAATTGAATGAAAAAGGATTTATAGGTTACTATAGGTTACTCTAAACCTTCTTTATTTATAATAGATGGCAGCTGAACACAAACCAGTCCATATATTTTAGCCATGTTTAGTTTTTTAAGACTCTCATTTTTCAAAGAAATCTTCCAGACTTTTTTTAGGGTATAAAAGGAATTGTTTGAAAAGAAATTTCTATGTTATTTTTTTGGCTGTATACTAATCTCCTTATTACAGAATTAAAACGATAAGTGCCATCTTCACAAAATTTTTACTTGTGTACTCCTCTAGGCCTAATTAGACTGCCTAATTAGAGTATCCCTTTTTTTAATCAAAACTCCGACTTTAAAATGTAGGGTGCCGGAAAGGGTTAAAACAGTGTATAATTAACTACTTCTTAGTTTTCCGCAAGATTCATTCCACTTATGCCTGTGATAAAAAAAAGCTGGTGTAAGATTTATATTTTATCTGAGGTATCCCAAATAAGATTTAAAAGGAGCTGAACATTATAGAAGAAAACAAGAGAAAAACTTATTTTCATATATTACGAAACATACAGAAACTACAGTTTATATAGACATAGTTAGTATAAATTTATATACCCTTATTGGTACTATTCCGTTTTAGGACCCTAAAATATTACAGCGAAAACATAATATTGCAGCGAAAACATATGTGCAAAAGCGCCAAATCTAGCAAACGCTCTCATTTAATCTAGCGAACGTGCTGAAGTCCGTAAATTTAAATAGTTCTATATTTATAAGTCGCCACTGAAGTACTAGTTTAATTTTTTAATACTTTTCTTATAACGCTATGGATTTAACAGTTTGGGAATTGTCCAATGACGAAAAGACTGCAATAGAATTTTTTCAAAGAACAGGCATCATTCATGATAGAAAATTATGTTCGAATACCCACGAGATGAAATTATGCTTTAGCGGTAACTGAGTAGCGAAATGGCGGTGCAGGAAAGAAACCTGTAATGAGAAGAAAGGATTAAGAAGTCAAAATTGGTTCGAAGGATCGAAAATCGCCTTCCTTACAATCATTTGGTTCATCTATTTTTGGTGTCAGGGGGATGACATCTATTGAATTTTGTGAACTCCAACTGAAGATGAATCACTAATACAACTGTAGACTGGAGCAGTTACATGCTTGAAAGGAAAATTTAATGTGGAAGTTTTCAAATAAACGTAAAAGTTTGGGAAAGACAGGCAATTCAAACAGATATTTTATATATGGATTAACAAGTGTGTATGAACGTTTTAGAGGATTTTTTGATGGATTGTGGATTATTGAAGGATAAATCATGTGAAAAATGTAAGATACCATGATGTAAGATCATGTACCCAAATGTAAGATTTTTCTTACATTTGGGAAAGCCAAGCAAAGGTGAAATTTTTAAAACTACTTCCTTTTAACCTTAATCATTTTCATTAATCATTCCTTAACATTTCTTTCTTTTAAAATCGTGTATAATAGTCGTAAATTTATTTCTATTACCCACGATTTCTGGTGAAATCAAGATGGCCGCCATTTTTGAAACACGGAGTTTCGTCGAAAATCTGGATGGACACCATTTTTTAAAACAACGTATTTCATGTGTTTTGGCGCGAAAATAAATTACCCAAACTTTGAAGGTGGGTTATACTGAAGCTGTTCCAGATTCAATAACTGTTCATATCATTGTAAATACTGAAATAAAAGCATGACATTAAATATCTGTATTACATAACATACTCTTTTCGGAAATTGTTCTTTGTGTCTTTTTTATCCAATCCAAAGTATCTTATGATTTCCATAGTTTTATTACAAAACTTCAATTGAATTTAAATAAAAATGCAATTCCTTTACACTAAGCAAACATTTGGATCCAAATGTTTGCTTAGTGTAAAGGAATATATAAAAAAGAAAGAAAAAGAAAATCTGAAAGAACTGAGATTTTAATTTCGCATGAGACGTTTTAGTAAGTTTTTTATGCTCTCGTTGAGCATGGTCCCAATCTGCTCTTGGACTCACTCCTACTAACACAGCATCTTTGTGTTTTTAACACAATTAAAAAGCATCGCTTCGAAATTACGCCGCATAAATTACAACAGCAAAATTTCAGAACTAAATTGAGCAGAGTTTTGGATTTACCAATAGCATGTTATCAGTTGCCACACATATTTTTATATTTGCTATAATTATTTATCTGAAAATATATAGAGCTAGAGCGGCGAATGCCCTACAATTTTATCATAAAAATCCAAAAAGTGATGCAAGAATTTTAATGTGTCTATCTAGTATAATTTCATAAAAAAATTAATAATTCTAATTAGTCATCTCATGATTTAAATGCAGTTTTACTGCAATGAATTCGATTAAAATACGGAAAAAATTATTTATAAGAAATGCGTTTATTGCTTTTAAATCACCACGTTATCTAACCAGTGAAAGACTAATTAACTTTAATGCATTTTATGGAATGACAATATGTTAGGGCTGTTAGACAATAAATATTCTTTATAAGGCTTTGGCAACACACTGCTTTCAATTGGCCGGATTAAAATTGAAAGATTAAGGCCTTATCCTTTGCTGATTGTCAACAATATCACATGATACAATTAATGCAAATTGAATTATTTTCTATAGTATTATCACCGTATGTTTGCAAACAACGGATATTCGTAATCATAAGTTCAATAAATTAAAGTAATTGAATAGAAGGGCTGAAATAAGTTCAAAACAAACTCGAAATTAAAAATTTCCGCTTCGAGGGAGCCACGTTCAAGTGAAAGACTACACATGTTAGAATATCAGAATTTTTCGGTGGATGCGTCTTTCCCCACAATGCGAGTAACATACCAGATTCTCCATTATATATTTTAAATAATACAATGCAGTACCTTCTGGCAAGAACAGTTCGAAATGTGAATAGGAAACAAATGTGATATGGACAAAAAATCAGATTCCAAACTTACAGAATCTCTAGTTCCACTAATGTTTTTCAAAAGTATATTATTCGTAAATCAAATGAAGTCAAATTATTTATACGGCAACAAACAAGAGGTATTTCCCTAAGCGAAAGCAAAACTTTAAGGAGCTTTTTTCAGTGAAAGCTCGCATATCAAATAGGGCTAAACCACGAAAATCAACCATGCAGCCAGCACGTTTGCCCGCATTCGACCCCTACTCAAACAACTAATAATTAGCATTTTTAAAGACTCGTCAAGTGATGGGACAAAATAGACACCGAATTTTTAATTGCATTAAGTTCACATTTGGATGAAGGAAGATGTCCAACATGCGTTTGAGCAGATTTATCAAATTCCCTTAATACTTTTATTGTACCTGTGGTGAAAATCACTTTTTAAATCAATTCAGAAACAATTCCTGCGTTTAGTCGTACAGTGTATAAAAGCTTCTTTCGCAATACTTCATATTGCAATTTAGGGCAAAATTATTGGTTTCACGCATAGAATATCGTGTGTGTAGGTGAGTTAAGAAATTCTGCGCACAGATAAATAACACAAGTTTGATCACTTATGTAAGTGATATGAAAGAGATCTATAAAACCTATTCACCATTCTTCAGTTACTCATGACATGCAACATGGGATAAATTAGGAAATAAGAAAAATAAATGTTACTAAATATTTATTTAAAAAAAAGAGAGAGAATCATTAAATAGGATTAAGATATTGTCGTTTACAAATTTCAGCGTGATTGATATAATCTCTCTCATGCATTCTCTCAGAGATTCTGAATCAGATTTAGTACTGTCTAAAAAGCCAGTTAACATTTTACATCTTATATATTATTTATCATTTAAACAAAACTGGCAGCTTGATATACAAGGTAACTAAAAACGTTCTTGCCGTTTTGGACAGTCAGAAAGAAAAAAATCATAAAACAAATAATAATCCTCAAAGTAATCCCCATCGGCTTTTGTAATCGAGTGGCTAGCTGTACGATGCCATCACGGTAAAACTCAGGATTCTTGGACGCAAAGAAATCCGTGAGGGCCATTTCGAGGTCTGGCCGGTTGTCGAGGGATTTCCTGCGAGGATGGTTGTCTAGGGAATGGATAAGTTGGTAGTCTGTTGGTGTGAGGTCTGGGAAGTATGGTGGATGGGGTAGTGTCACACAGGCCAGTCGCTGGATGGTGTCTCTGGCCTCCCGAGGCACATGTGGCCCCCCATTGTCTTGGACGAGTAGTACACCGTTACGATTGACCAATGCTGCCTCTTTATACATTAGTGAATGATGCACACGTTCCAACTGCTGCGAGTACAAGCCTGTCTGGATGTGTCATATTGGACACAAGTTTCCTCGTTGGTGAATACTCGATCAAATATGGAGGCACTGCGGTTCCGTGTAAACAATGGCAAACAGGAAGCGACATGCTGTTCCTTATTTGCATCGGACAGTGAATGGGGTATCCACTTGCTCAACTTGTGTGCCTTTTCGATGCGGTGCAAACGGAGTCTGATCGTTTCATCGGATACCTGGATGCGTGCAGAACGTTCACCACATGTTTGGCTACTGTCACTCTCTATGGCTGCTCTCAGGGCCTCATTGTTCAGACTTTGTGGCCGATCGCTGCGTGGTGCATCACTTAGAGACATATTCCTTGACTTGTACTTTTGGAACCATTGCCTAGCGGTTCGTTCGTTAACGGGATCATCCCCAAAAGCCTCGCTAATTCGGCTGCTGACAGGCGCACTTTAAAATTATACAGCAAAAAACTCGAAGGAGCGCATTTGAAACTTCCATTTCATTGAGTCGCTGGGTGAGATCCGCTCACCTGAATCCGGTACACTATCTTTAAGACTACCTTACGAGACAGGTTGGACCTTGGGAGATTGCATGTCTGGTCGTTGCTTCACATTTTACTTACCGACAACTTAATTGACAGCATGAAACATCGCTGCCGCCGATATATTGCAGCTAGGAGTGGACACATTCCTTATTAGAACTCACTTTTGTAATATTACCAACCCATATTTCTTAAAAAAAAAAAAAAAAAAAAAAAAAAAAAAAAAAAAAAAACTGTGATATACTGTTTCCTCAAGACATTTTTTGTTGTAATTCATGTTTGTGTTGAACTTCTAACAGCTCATGGAAATTTTCATGGTCACAAGAAGTCACTGGAAGAAAAACATTTACCTTGTTACCTATCACCTCAAGTAACTTAGTTTCTGCAAACAGTGCAACGACTTATTTTCTAACAGCTTATGGAAATTTTCATGGTCACAAGAAGTCACTGGAAGAAAAACGTTTACCTTCTTACCTATCCCTTCACGGAACTTAGTTTCTACAAAAAGTGCAACGACTTATCTTTTAACAGTTCATGGACTTTTCGTGGCCTACTTAATGCGTTTAGGATTACATAACATAGACAGTTGCTTTTGAGGCTTTACTAGGTATATGAAACCACTAGTTGTTTCAGTGTCAAACAACCAAAGATCTACATTTTTGACCCTATACAACAAACAATGCTCGTAAATGATTTCAGAAGATTCTCAGGAATAAGTCTCTTCGCGAAAAATGTAAAATTCTAATAAACTATTTTATTATAAACAGCGACAATCTCAAAGTGTAACTTTGACTTTTATTTATCGTATTTTAGCTATTTATGTTATTAATGAAAGTAGCAGTCACAAAAGTGACCTATAATCTTAATAATAGTAGTAATAATAATAATAGTTAGTAATATTAATAGTGATAATACACTCATGTCCATAAATTAAGGATAATGCAAAATCAGGCAAAGGAAGAGTTAAAAGCAAAACAAATTTGACTTATTTGTAAAGCTTATTTATTTAACAAAGGTAAAGAGCAAAAAAAGATGCTATATGTTGATATTATTAAAAAAATTAGCGATTTTTTTCTCCCTGGAGCAAATTATAAAAAACCCCTATTTACAAAAACCAATATTACATGGTTGGTATGATTGTTAATACATTGTATGTCTCCCAGACGATGCAATACAGTCCGTACAACGCCTAGGCATGCTGAGTATCAAATTATCGATCTGATCTTGGGGGATATTACACCACTCAAAAAGCAATGCTCTCCGAAGTTCCGGTAGACATGTAGGAGGAGGTTGACGGGCTGCAACTCGTCGGCCAAGCATGTCCCACACGTGCTCAACTGGATTCAAGTCCGGTGAGAATGCTGGCCAGTCCATACGGGTGATATCCTCCGACTGAAGGCATTCGCTTACGATGTTTGCACTGTGAGGACGGGCGTCGTCATCCATAAACACAAATTGTGCACCCATGGCGCCCCGAAACAAACGTACATGTTGTTCCAGAATGACGTCCCGATAGATTTGGCTTGTCATGGTTCCAATTTGAACATGCAGGTCAGTTCTGGAACCCAGAATAATTCCACCCTAAACGAGCACTTCTGCACCACCGTAACGGTGTCGTTCAATGATGTTTTCTTGATGGTAACGGGTGCCTGGAGCTCTCCATATGAAAGCCCGGCGAGAATCAGACTGCAAGCTAAACCTAGATTCGTCGGAAAACATCACACAAGCCCACTGTTGCGGTGCCCGCAATGCATGCTCTCTACTCCAGGCTAGCCGCAGGCGAAGGTGAGTTGCAGTAAGTGGAACGCATTTGACAGGTCTACGAGCATATAGGCCAATCTTGCCTACACGGTCTGTACACGGTCTGCCTTGAAATTGTCGTACCAGTGGCTGAAGAGGGCTGACGAGACAGGTCTGATGCTGTACTCCGCCTGTTTCTTTTTGGCAGTAACCGCCAAATACCGGTCCTCATTCGGCGTTATAACTCTGGGGCGACCTGTGCTGTAACGTCTACTCACATTACCATCATCTTGGAATCGTTGCCAAAGCCTGGAGATGACATCCTGGGGAATTCCAAGTTCGTCTGATACTTCCAGTTGAGTACGGCCACATTCCAGACGGCCGATAATTCTACAACGTAAAACATCATCCAAATGCGTCCTTTGTGTCATAACTATTCGGTTATTGCACCGAAATGCTTATAAAGCGCCTGCGAACAATTTTACTTCTTTGCGTGTATTTCTTATATATCACTCCCTTACACTCTCGTCATTGTGACGTACCATCGGTGTCATCTGGTTACTTCCTGAAATTTGCATATGATTCTTGAAGATGTATGTAGTGATTTTACAATATATTTATTTTAGAGTTCGATTTCCGCTTGACTCCGAATTATCCTTAATTTATGGACATGAGTGTAGTTTTACTTTTGTAATCTTATTTTATTAGTACTTTTATTTTATTTTATTGCTTTATTATTTTATTAGTTCCATTTTTATTTTGTAACTTTACTTCATTTTGTTAAATAATTTGTCTAAATGGTTTAATTTTCTCAGAATTTGCAAAATACTTTCTCAGAATTGTAAAATGGACTCAGAATCTCAGACTTATGTCAAAAGTAAACAACTCTGCTCATCAACTTCGTATTACTCTTCGTAAACTAGTATTTTACAACATTCCTTTAATTTCTCAAAACTTTTACAGTCACATACCATTCATAACATCCTTTATAACATGTAAAAAAACCCTCACTGAAACTGGAACTCTATAACATTTTTAAGGAACGAATTCGATGCAAAAAACAGGCTAAAAGTATGCTTTAAATACTATAAGTTTTAATTAAAATGCTTAAATATTGCAACTAAATAATAATTTTGTGTGAAATGTTTAAACAATTTTTATTAACGTGAAAAGCATTAGACGTTGTTATTTTACTTCTGTCATAATTTCATGGAAATGATTCTAGAACATCTGTGGCTGCATTTCATTTAAAATTATTTTTCGTTAAAAATCCCTTAAAATTTATAATGTTTAGAGCTTCTTGGATATACATTTATGTAAAAGAAATTTCTGAAATTTTTATTTGAAAGCTTACATTCGAAGACATCCATCGAATTTGTTTAATACCCGTCAATTAAACATTTAATGAAGTATGGAATTAATATTGCAAATGAATTAAATGTTCAGAAAAAATTCTGATTATTTATTGGCCTTGTGGATTGTATTCGTAGCTCTAGAGCAGGGGTTCTCAACAACCGCTGGTACGCAAGAAAAAAGTAAGTGGTACGCAAAAAAAAAAAAAAAAAAAAAAAAAAAAAAAAAGTATTTTTAACTATTAAATTCAAAAATCTCGTGAAGAAAAATAAAAAATGATAGAAATTTCCTGTGATTAAACTCGAACTGAAGATTTCAAAAATAATAAAGTTGTTAACTTTTTTCTCAATCGAAAAGCAACTTTAAAGGTATTTTAAATAAAGCTATTAAATTTTGATGGCCTTTTTGCCAAACCTATTTGTGTGAATAATGATTGTCGCCCGTGTTATGTTTAAAAATTAAATGCAGAACAAAATTAAAAGTGGATCCTAATTTCCTGTTGAAACTAAGTGAAATAAGACTGGACGCAAAGACATTTTTTCTTCTTAAACAGGCTCAAATTTTCCACTAAATTTTAGAATTAAAGTATTATAACTTAAAATTTTGATAATAATAAAGGTAACCCATTTTTAATCTAAATATTTTTTATGTATGCATATTTAATACAATAGGTTGTGCAAATGGCACAGTATATTTATTTTTAATATTTCTGTTGAGAAATTGAAAAATAATCATTATAAGAGGACTCACATATTTCGCATAACTAAACATTTAAAAATATACTATCATAAAACTGATTGATTCTTTGCTGATTAAGCATAAACTGCTTTCAAAATAAAAGAAAGTAAAACTTGCAAACCTCGAGTAAATTCTGTTAAAGACAGATAACATATCAAAGTAAAAGATCAAAAACTACCCATTGATTACTTTAATGCTGAAAAAAATTTCTCTAAATTTATCTTTTTGAGATCTAACCATAGTAACAGGGAAGATGGAATACTGTCCTTTTAATAAGGTCTGTTCGGATTGAACGAACGAAACAGTCCGATATCCACAGTTTCAAATTCCCCAGATAAAACGTTTTGGTTTACATTTTAGGCTAATTTATCTAAGATATATTATCTTAGTTTACATTTGACTGTTCAACTCCTTTTACGGACACGGCTTCTTTTATCGATGTGGCTGTCCATTTCTGATAAGTTTTCATCATTGCTCGACGAAGAAACAACACAGACATGTCTCAATCTCATCTTGCGCAAATTTTCGCATTGGTTTTAATTTTCTCCAATTGCGTTTATGCAGGTAAGATTTAAAATTATATTTAGAAGTATATTTCTATCGGAAGTATTCCACTTTGCGTAAACAGCAGTTAACAGCTAGATAATTATGGCAAAGAATGGCGTTTGTCAAGGGAAATTTAGTCAAAGGAGTTCAGAGAAATTTAAAGATGAAATGCATTGTAATTTAATTAATAATAATTAATACTCCAGTAAAGAGTATAAAATGTATATTTTTTATTTTCCGTGATGAAATGTATTGATTTCTTTCATATTGACTCCAGTCGTATGACCAGCACAGAGAGAAAATGTGAAATTCTTAATTGTAATACATGCAAGTAGGTCCTAACCAGAAGTGTATACTGGTTGTGTAAAAAAGTGTTAAAGAGATTCTTTAAAAAATATTGATGTATTTCTTGTATTAATAATATAGTTTAGATATATGTAATTATGCTTATGTTGAATTCCTCACAATGAAATCTTTGCATAAGCTCGTTTGTTTATATTTTCCTTATGAATTAAACGTTTCGTTGCATTTTCAAAAACATTTCTTACTCTAGCACCATATTAAATTATCGAGTATATATCTTGGCACAGTATAGCGTTCTGGAAGGTTTCAGGCTAATAGAAAATAAAAGCAGTATTTAAGAAATTTTTGTAGTTACGGGTTTGCGAATGTATTTTTGTGTAATTTTCCAACTTTGTTTCAGACGTCCGTGCTTACGGAGGATTTGCAGACCATTATAGCTTCTGAAGTGTTGCAATTCGTCAAATGTAGCTTATAACAGCCATGTGTATTATCAGGGGCATAGTTGTAGTAACTTACATTATATCATATTATTACCGGGCGCATTACTTACGTACTTATATTACTTATATATTTATATTATGCTATAATTATTTTAACTTTTGCTACTTGCATTATATTAGTTTCGTCAGCATGATAATGCGAACAGTAGTAAATAGTAGGAAAGAAGCTGAAATACTGTAGAAAATATCACTAAGAAACTTAAATTAAGTGACGTTTTTATAGCTAAAGAAAAAAAAAAAATCTGAATGTTTTCAGATTTTTAACGGTCGCGCAAAAGGGTTTATTAAGGATTTTACGATTTGGCTGAGCTCGTAGTCTGCCTGTTACACTCACTTCTACTAATACACTTTTGTTCGTCTTTTTAACTTTATTATAAGCATCATTTTCTTTACGCCGTATACAATTCAACAGCAAAATTACAAAAACTTTAAAAGCAGCATAAAATTGTAAAAGCATACGTTTAAGAATTCCCGAAGCAGCGTTAAGTGTGGGAATACATTTTTCTGTTCCCCCCTTCTTCCTTTCTCAGCTCATTCATCAATATTCAGTTTTCTTACTAAGGTAGCTTTACAAAATATTTTTATCATTTATTATTAACTTTTTATGTGTACTTTATTAATTAAATATCATGTTCTTGGCGCTTACGCCATATAAAATTCGATTCAACAACACAAATCACAAAATATTTAAACACAGTATATCTTTAGAATTTCCGACAGACAGTCTCGTATCCTGGAGTAAAAATGCTTTTTCCCGCGCAACATTGCCACTGCTCACTTTGAAATCGTTTATTTGCTAGTAAAAAAAATCGTTAAATTTTAACAAAATATGAAACAAATAATAAAACAAATTCGAAATTTAAAATTCGAGCTTCCAAGTGCCCATGGTCGTTTGGAGGACTACATTATTCAAAATTTTATTATTTATTATTCAAAATTTGACGGCGTCGCCGAGACGGTATAGAGGTTAGGGAAACCGACTGCGATACCAAAGGGTCCGGATTCGAATCTCGGTGAAGGCATGGTTGTAACTGTCCATCCCTTCATAGCAGGCTAAGGTGGCCTACAGGAATTTACGTACCTCCCTAATAAAGTGACCACGACTTCTGGCTTTAGTAGTGGCCGAGCCAAGTCTACTGAAGGCCAGAATATGATAACTCTAGGTGGCGTTTTTTTTTTACAATGTGAGAAAAATGCATACAGATTCTTCATTATTTAATTTCTTTAAATATAATATCGGACGATAATATTTATTGGCAACAATTTGAAAAGTGATACGCCGTTTATAGTGATTCAACGCAAAATGCCGTTTTGATAGTAATACCTCATTTGGAACTAACGTTTCCTTCTGGGCTAAAACAGTAAACCAGCCTTTTCAACATAATATTTAATGTCTGATATACAAGTCTTCTTTATAATATATTTTTATACTTTCCATGATGAAATTTATTAATTCAATAAAAAATTTATTAAAATTAAACAGAACAAGGGACTCCTTTTCCCAAAATGAATTATAAAATTTATTTAAAAGGGATTCAAAAGGGATCTTTACGTGGGGACTGTACGTACGAATATATGTATGTATCTCCTATAATGAGTAGCCTCAGAACATTGACATTTTGTATATAGGACTGCTATATACTGCTTTTGTATATAGGATTGCTAAAACAGGTAGTTGTGCACCTCACTTTTTGGTTGCATTCGGGAGCACCAAACATATATATTTACATACCCACTTTGTTACCCGACTCCGTGAGCTCAGTTCTTTACTTACTTGTACGAAGTAATGTAATCACGAAAGGTTCCGGGTATCATATTTCAATGAAAATGAAATTGAAGGCTATTTAATACAATTTAACGATGTTTTTGCGTGACATCTATATGAATAAACGGACTGTCTATACGAATACGACTATCTATACGTGACATCTATACGAATAAAGGACTCTTTTTTCCCAAATGACATATGAAACTGATTTAAAATGCATTCAGAAGAGATCTTTTCGTGACGTCTGTACGTATATATGTACGTACATACGTATATAAGTATGTATCTCGCATAACTCAAAAACGAGTAGCCTCAGCACGTTGACATTTTGTATGTAGGACTGTTATAACATGCAGTTCTGCACCTCCCTTTTTGATTTCAATCGGCTCTACTAAAAGTATATAAATTTATATATATATACTCATTCTGTTACACAGCTCCGTGATCTCAGTTTATTATTCTTATATGTTGATAAGCTGCGCATATTTTGCTCTAAGAATTATTCAATTATGATGTTCTTATCTTCCGGTTATTTTTATGTTTAGTTTCGGTTCTATTCCCGTTTCTACGCCTTTAGTTAGTCTGCATGCGATAGTTGTAGAATTAACAACAATTTCAAAGTTGCTTAAGTGCTTGGATAAGCCTAATTTTCTCACTATAGCAGCAATATTTGTTTACGTTTGAAAGTTAGCAGAATAACGATGAACCTTCAGTGTCTTCTTGGAGAGTGGGACCAAAAGAAAACTTTCAATCTTGTGCACCCAAAAATGTGTCTTTTTGCCTGCTGGCGGAATTGCTTGTTTCTGCGCAGAAACTCTAATTTTAATTCTTTTAATTTTATTTGGTGTTTTATGCTTTTTATATATTTCAGTTTTTAATGAAGGTATTTTGAGAATTTACGTATTTTTTGTCTTGTCGCAAAGTGAGAACGGAATTAATTGAATGCGAAATGTGTCTCTAACGAAATTCGGGAAATAAATGTTACGTATTATAAGCAAATATTGTCGTCAGTCTGTTTCGGACAAAGAAGAATGTTTACGAGTAGTGCAAGTGGATTACGTAAGCAGCGTTGAAGAGTCTCTGAAAAACTGTTTCTTTTCGTTTGTTTAATTTCTTTTACAAATCGTTTTAGATTTATTATAGTATTTGAATAGAACATGTGGCAAATATAGGATAATGCTTCAGATGATATAATTTTAGAGGATTCTGAGTTATATAATGAATGAAATGTAACGCTGTTAAGCGAACCTAGCGCCAGAGTGTCGCTATGGTAAAAAAATGCAGTGAATTTTAAAGAGTGCATTTATTCTATTGTGGTTTATGCGCTATCGACGAAGTAGATTTAATTCAGTTCAATAAGTTAAAATGAAATGCAGGAAAAAGAGCGTATAATTTAATATTCCGTACAATGAAGTCATGTGTAAACATCAGATTTTTTATATTTGAAAAAACATAAATAATATGCTCAGTGCCATTGTTCGGAGTATACAGAAGTCTCAATATTACACATTCAACATCTGCATTATAGAGTTTTACTTCAAATGCCTTGGACGTATGTATGAAATGTTCACCCAAAATTTACACAAAAATTTATTACATATAAAGTTCCTATGTTTGAAATAAATATGCACATAATATTTTCAGTCAATTAAAAATAATTACAGTTTAAATAATCAGGTATACGATTAAAGATTAAAAGTAACGTAAGTAAAAATATGAAAGCAAAAATAATGTAACTAAGCGAATAGTTCTATTAAAAATGAAAAAAAAAAAAAATTTCTACTTCAAACACGTGGTTGAATATGGCGAAAAATCGTTGTTGCCATACAGAAGAAACGAAACTGTAATGTATTACGTCATCCAAGATGACAGCATCCACATCCTTTCCGAGAATCACGTGATTCCAAGACGATGATATTTTGGAGTGCTAGGCTATATCCCTTTCCTGTGACATAATCTTAGCCGCTAGAGTACTGTAACCTACTAGTACTGACTCATAGCCTGCGGTCGATTTATGAAGATAAATTGAATTTTTGTTTTATGAAAATGGCATCAGAATTCTTATTAAATCATATGTGAGCTTGAGTAGACAAATGATTCTTTTATATTGATTTATTTTTGTTATTACTGAATGATGGAAACTCCCATAACAAAACTCTTTTCACAGGACCATGTCTTCGAGGACAATTCCGATGTAATAACAATCAGTGTGTAACAAGAGCTTCTTTTTGTAATGGAATAACAGATTGTTCGGATCGCTCCGATGAACATTATTGCTCAGTTTCATGTAAGTTCAGCTTTCAGTTTCTAGTAGCTTGTTATTAAACGTTCATGAAAATTGTCCATTGAAATATTTTTTACCATTGATTTATTAGTTTTAATCCATTATTTCTATAGTTAACAACTAAGGTTTATTATTTTCTTAATTTCTTTAATTTTTTTTTTTACGAATCTTTTTTAACACGGAATTAATGCGTGAAAGTTTTAAATCGCTTTATGCAAAACTTTTGCAATACAAATGATAAATATAAATAGATAGCTCTGAAATATCTGAAGAAGAGCTTTAACGATGACCTTGCAGTAAAGATTAAATATAAATTCGAAAATGGTTTTGCGAGTAAACACATACCGTAGGAACCCCCGTAGGAAACACATACGTAGAAATTTGCCATGTAAAATGTTTTTTTGATATTTTCATGTATCAAAAATACATCTACTTTACCACTGCCAGAAAATTAATTTTTCTACCTTTCCAAAACTTGAAAAATATATTTATGCATGCATCTATCTAGAATTAGGGGATTTTTTACATGTTTTATAAATTAAACAAGAAAATGCTTATAAATACTCATTTTTGAATAAAAGTAGTTTTATAGATTTCTAAATAAAACTAAATGCTTATCAGCTAAACAAAAGGCTGCCACCATTCGTCTTTCTCCTGAAACACTTAACGTCATTAAGAAGAATTTATGACCATTTTAATATCGAAATACGCGTGCTGTTGCACATTTCGGGTTTCAAGAAGGAAACCACATCAATACTATTTAATTTTATGACGGCTAAAACCACAGGTTTTCCGCTGATAAAACTCACACTACCGAGATTAGAATTAATAAGTGCAGTAATTGCTCATTACCTGAAAAATGTGTTCAAAGGGAGTTATGTTTCACTTCAGACAGACTCCTCTGTTACAATGTATAGAATAAAAGGACGGCAAAGGACTGGACACCATTTGTGTCTAACAGAGTAGTTGAAATAAAGAAATATGCCGATATCGAAAACTTTAATCATTGCAAACGAAACGGAAGGAAAAATTATAATAAAGGCTGAAATTATTAATTTCTGGTTAATTTAAATGGATTTTTCTAAATTTTTCCTAACACTGAGATTGTATTGAAATATTTCATTGAGACAGAAATGTCATAATTTGTTGACTCCTTTATCTTGATTTTCTTTCCATTCGAGAAGAAGAACTTCATCATTTCTACAGATTACTATGTCACCTTTCTTCATTCTTCATGTTTTGTTTTTAGACTTTGTGCTAAACCTCTTTTCACCTTGGACAAAGCTCGACAGATTCTAGTTTTGCGTTTCAGTTAGTAAGCCAACAGTGAGCAGTGTTAAAATGCGAGGGCAATCCCCCCCCGAAAAAAGGTCTCCTATATTTTTATATATTCAAAGAACCGTTTATTTTCTATAATTGCTACATCACTTTAAAGATTGAAGAATGCTTTATTTTTCAACATAATCGCCATTTCGGTCGATGCATTTTTGTAGACGCTGTGTCAGTTTTACAATGCCCATGTCATACCAGCTTGCCGCCATGCCCTTCATGAAGCGTCAATCGAGTCCAAGAAGTTTTCCTTTTCGTCTCCATAGCGGCGAAGAAATTCCCGGGAAGAATCAACCCGCTGCCGTTTGTAGTCTTCTGTCAGCATACGCGGCAGCCATCTTGCACACACCTTCCAATATTGCAACTTTTCCGTTAAAATCCTGTGGATGGTGCTTATGGAAACCTCAGGAACCAAAATGCAGAGAGCTTCCAGAGTGATCCTCCGATCTTAACGCATGAGTTCCTCAACTTTCGCGATTGTCTCGTCGGCAATTGACGGCCTCCCGCTCCTTTCCTTGACATGAATTTCAGTACGACCGGCTGTAAACTCTTTACACCACTTGCGAACGTTTTCTACATCCATGCACGACTGTCCATACACTTCCGTCAATAGCCGGTGAATTTCAACCGGTTTAAACGCCTTTTGCGTTCAAAAATCGAATAACTGCGCGCACTTCGCACTTGGCGGCAATGTTTATCGGGAGCTCCATTTCGAATGGCTGCCAAGCCAAGACTGAGCATCCGAGCGAAGCGCCTGCGTGCTTATGTGGTAGCGGAGAAGGCACCACTCACAACAGTGTTGCCAACAAGCGTATTAAAACTTTCTGTACGTCCCCCAAAAATAGGAGACCTTTTTTTTTAGAAATTGCCCTCGTAATTACCCTTATAACTATGGTGCGCAAAACCAATATAAGGACCAAGAATTGAAAGAGCAGTTACTTCTAAATTCTTTCCTTCACTAGTGTCAATCTATATCCTGCAGATATAGCCTGTGCCACTATAGCACACCAGTCTAACATGTAAACCATACTTTATAATCTTTGCAGGATTGTACCTTGCAAACCTGAGGCGTCATTTCTATGGACTCATCCGTCGCCCAAATACAACTGCTGCTTTCATTTGCATACTATCCTGAATTTATGAAAGAAATAATACTTAATAAATAAATGAATGTTGAAGAGTCTTTCCGAACCTTAACTATTCAGCACATAGTGATTTTTTAAGAGTTTTTTCGAGCCCATTATTATCATTAACGAAACGGAATGACAATATTTGTTTAAATATATCGAAGCTCATAGCTTATGAAAATACAGGGCTAACTATTACAGTATCTGTTGACTAATAATCTTTCCAATTATTTTTTCTTGTTTGCCGCATTAGAAAATTGGGCAAAGAGATTTCTGCAAGTTTTCTTGTGTAACAGAAGGTCACATGAGTGGTGTAGGTGATGTACGTTTCACTAAGGTTTGATCATGATAAGTAGGCATCTTCTTGCAGATTATTTCAAACAAGTCACCCAAACATCAATCTAGTCACACTAAGATAGAGTCACATTAGTATAGAGAAGTATAATGACCGGAGGATGAACTTCAAACATATTTGAGCGTTGTGAAATATGAATATCATATCAAAAATTGTCGTCTTCATGACAAAACAAATCATACTCTAGAACAGAATCTCCTTCATCGTTAACGTCGGAATAATTGACACATTACTTTACGGGTCTAACTATGTCACTGTCACTAGAATCATTCTCATTACTATGAAAACGTCCATTTACATAGTTATCCGAATTTCAGTTTCGTATCAGTATCGTTCATTTCCTTCCGTTTTCTGAACGTGGCCATTTCTAAAAACATGTATACATTGAAGACGATGATAGCGATATTTCTAGTTACCAAAATGTAATCAAAAGCGGTAAATATGAAAAACACTAAAAAAATTAATTAATTAACTTAAAAAATATTTAAAATAAAGACAATCGGTTTGAATACATTGACTATTGATGAGAACGCCTATATTGACAACATAGATATTAAAGCAAATAGCATCTAAGAGGTAGCATGCCAAACATGACTAAATACGAAATCTGTCTACAATGTATTAAATTAGAAAAACTCAAAATAACTGCATGTATTCTTGCAGCAAATCATAAGACAGAGCAGATACTGCTTTCGGTAATACATTTCTAAATAACGCCAATGTATCAGAATTTTTAATTTTTATTCTTTCCTTGGTTGTGAACATATTTTCAGTTCTCAGAGCAATGAATTTAAAGCAAAAATTTTTAATGCTTTTAATAGTTCATTTTCTTTCGATAAATGCTAATATTTCTTTTAGCAACTGAGTATGATAAAAGAATACAAGAAATAAATGCTTCAAAGAAAAGGGCCATTAATTACATTTTGGCGCAGTCGAAGCATAATTTCTCAATAGAAAATGGGGTCCGGAACTGAACAGAATAGCTGTTGCTTTATACCTTGCTGACGAACCAGAAAGAGACTCACTTTCTCCTGGCCGTCAACAGCGAGACACCATTCCTTACGAACTCAGTCTCCAGTTCTTCTCAAGGCTTGCTCTGTAAGTTGCAACTGAATTATTTTTATTTTGTCATATTCTTGAAAAAGAGGACATATGTATATAACTTCCAAGACACACGAAATGGCAGGAATTATTGTATACAGTAGTATTCTGAAAATTCAAACAGCTCAGCGACTAAGTCCCTCCGGAATTTTTTATTCTCAGGTAGGATTCTTAATGTAAGCATACGCATTGGAATAAAATTACTCCAAATGGAATAAATTTCGAATAAATAAATGAAAATATTGTTGCGTGCGTACGGGTTCGTTACGAAATGAATGCACAAGTCCGATGAAAAGTGAACAAAAATTTATTATTATCACGACAAATATGCTTAAATTTCCTAAAATATTCGTGCAGTATTACAATATCTCACAGTAGTTACCTTTTAACTACTCAAACGTTCAAAAGAACGTAATTCAAAACAGCTAAAGAAAGCTACTCCACGAATTCGCTACAGTCAACAAGAGCAGTTTTCTAAACAAACTCTTAAACAACAACAAACTAAGTAACTACCTAATTACCAGACGCAGTCTGAAGGGTAACACAGGATGGCGTCCAAATAAGTTTATCTTTAAACTGTTCAGCTAAATCTTTCCTAATGATGGTAACATGAGCTCCTGTGTCATTGATGATATTGCAAGGAACTCCATTGATATTTCCATTGATGGACAGTCCGTTACTGTTGCCACTCACTCTAGAAATCTTGAGTGCTTTAAAACAAGGTTTTTCATTATCTGGCAACCTCCTGTTCCTCGATACGGTCATTCATTTCTTTCCTCCTGTGTTTCGTCGCTGGAGAAATGGTCTGAATTTTCGTAATCTGGGGTATTCTGCAATTCTTTCGTACATGGCCTTCAGATCCTTGAGTTCCAGCACTTTAGTTTGTTGTCAATCCTTTTCCGTCCCATGTCAATTAATTGTCTGTTTAACCCGCCTCTCTTATTTTCCGTGCTCTGGACTGTTCTGCAGTTCCTTCGTGTGTGGCCTTCAACACCACAGTTCCAGCACTTTAGGGTTGGTTTCTTCTCACCAGTACTCCATCTCAAGGCATTCACTGATCTTATCAAATCATCCGCTTTATTATCCGTGCCCTGGGGTGATCTGCATTGCCGTCGTATATGCCCTTCAATACCACATTTCCAACACCTTAGAGCCACTTTGTTCTCACTGCTACTCCATATCAAAGTGTCGACCTGTCTGGATAAATCATCTAAACGAACCATCAATTGATCCACTGGCTCGTGGACTCGCACAGCTCTGACTGGATAGCGACCTCTACCAGTTGCTTGCTGAGCTGCCTCGAATTTTACGGCGTATAGCAGAGCGCTTTTTATTTCTTTAACATCCGGCATTCGCAGTGCTTTCTGTATTTCAGGGTCCCTGATGCCATCTATGAAATATTGCAGCGAGAGGATTTCTCTTGTTTCTGTCGGGCACTCCAAAGAGGCGTGATGTGACAGCCTTTCAACATCCGTGGCGAGCTCCTGAAGTGTTTCGGTGGGCTTCTGCTGACGGGATTTTAGTTGAAGCCTGCTGTAGTCTTTTAAACACTTCTCTCCAAAGCGCAGCTCCAATGCGCCAGATAGAGCTTTAAAGTCTAGTCTCGGGTTTTCGGGAAGAGTCTGCAGGATATCCGCTGCGTCTGCTCTCAAAGAAGCGGCAAGATGACAGGCCTTAGCTTGAGAATCCCATCCATTCGCATCCACTCGCGAGAATTTTTCTAGTTCTTTCTCGAAATGAAAAAGAGATATTTATTAAATGTTACATGCACGCGCTCTTGTATTTTCAACTTTCCGGCTTAGCTTTTTTTTTAATATTCGTCACGCGCTGCACTGCGCGAGAAATAAAACCATTTAATTTACAATTCATCTAACATAAGCTTTTTTTAAATACCATATTCGAAACAATATTGTCCAGTCGCTCTAACAATCAGTGTATCTTTCTAGTTTACTTATGAGATTGTGTAAATGAAAAATATTTCAAGGTCACTTTTTGTCTGCTTCTCTTGTGAATTATTTTTTGACTCAAAAATATTTCAATACAGAATAGAATAAATTTAATCATCGCAGTGCGTCCGTAAAGTCATGGTGCACATTTGATCGGTCACAGGAAAGCAACGAAACAAGATAGAAATGTGAAATCTTCACCAAACAAAAGGAAACGTCTTAAAGTTTCATACCTATTCAGTGTAGTTTGATGTGGGCTCCATTCATGCCGTCACAGTCTACTCCGCAAATAGAAATGGTTCTATCACTTTATCATGCATCAAGTCATACCACACGTTCACTTTAGGGCTGCTACACTCGTACTCTACAAGGGCATGAGGATTTTCAGCATCCCATATTCGGATGTTATGGCAATGAAGATGTCCACTAACAGGGAATGTCGCCTCATCGCTGAACACAATCTTCTGCAGAAATCGGTTATCACTGTCGACCTCATGAAGCCTACCTGTAGCAAACCCAAATCGTCATCACCTGTGTGCGCGCATGCTTGCACATAAAACTACAGAAACTCGGAGAGTTTTCCTTTTGTTTGGTTGAAGATTTCACATTTCCATCTTATTTTGTTGTTTTCCTATGACCGATCAAATGTGCACCATGACTTTACGGACGAACTATATTACTAACTATTCTGGACATATTAAAATAAGTATTTGTGCTCAAGTATATTTCATAATTTGTTGAATAACACAAAATAAATAATGCGTAACAGTAATTTGTTTTTAGAAATATCATTACAGCAAAAATGCGTAATACGATTATCTAGCATTTACAAGCAAGTTGTAAGTATATATTCGCATTGTATTTGAACTCTTAGAAGGTTAAATTATTAAAATTATCTCCATAAGTTTCTTGGTGATTCATTTTATGACAGCAAATATAAAATTGCTCAAAATTTATCGAAATGTATTGAAATTTCTCCACAACTGAGCAAGAATTTTACCTGAAATACAAGTAGTTATTTCTTTTCGCTTTTACATTACATGCACACTGTGTGGTACAACACTATGTAACTATGTGAAGGAACAATAAAAAGGAAACATTGGATGCATTTAAAAAATTATTTAGAGTAAAAAATATCATTCCATATTTATTTTAAACTTTACGTAAAAAGTAAATCAGTTTACTGTATATTAATAATTCAGAAAATTTAAATACTTATTTATACATTACTGTTTTAGGAAAAAAATTGAAGATGTTTCAAATACGGAATTGGCTGCATTCATTAATGCTTTCCTCGTGTCTTGCATTAATCCCAGAAAGTTCTACGTAGTAGACCTGGTGACGGAGCTAAGAAAGCGCGTCGATTCACAGAATTCCACAAATCCGTTCGCAATAATCGCTCTCTGCAATGCCGGAGAACATATCTCTTCCCAAGATGTCGAGAAGCTTACCGAGATGTTTTGGAGCAAACAGCGGGAGTTCTGGACAGGTACACATTTTAGATATTTATTTATTAGTACAGGAAAGATAATATCAAATAAATGAACATTTGAGTCATAGAATACTACTAAATAAATAACCACAACTACTAACAAAAATTAACAAGTCTTTTCACTCTTTCTTTTTTCACCCGTATCGGCGAGCTCAGTTTTTTTATTCTCATAAATAAGTTAAAAATATGTAAATCAAAATTATAATTTAAATTAGCAATAGTATTTAATTCGCTCTCTCTCTCTATTCTGAAAATAGCAATGCCGTTTTCTGCACTGCGTCATTTCTACATCAGTTATTATCATATGACTTGCATAACTCTAATGACCTAATTTGCATAACGCTGACTTGCATAACGCTAATTCGGAACCTGAACTCAAAATTTCGAGAAGAAAAACTTTCTCTTGATAAGCAACTTAAAGCGAAGCCTTTCTCCTGCCGAGCTTCCATATTGGGTAACTGCGCACTCGTATTTGTATTTTTGTTATCGTCGCTGCTCTGCTCCTATCGCCACAATATCAAAAATATAAATATTCTTGAATAGTCCCGATTAGAGAGCCAAGTAAATTATGGCTGCTAATGTAAACTGAAATAAAGATGAATATTTAATCTGCCTCGAATGCTAAATTTGCTGTATATTAGGGACTCTATGTTCAACGTTCTACGCCGTCAACATTGCTACGTCTCTTTCATCAGACACAGACGTATATACATACATATAATTTATAGTAATAGGTGAAGTAATTACTGCATGCATGTTTATTTTGCAGATACGCAAGCCCTTATTGTAATGGCATTATCCTGCGCTGCCTTACAGCCCAACAGTAACTTCGACATGGGTGAGATCAAAGAAATGACACTGGAATTGAAACAGCGCCAATTTAGAAATGGAACTGTGGAAAATGTTAAGACGACTGCATTAGTCCTTCAGGTGAGAAGCATTCACAACAAAGATTACTGATTGGAAGAGCTTTCCCCTTCTTTAAGACTAAAACGTTCGTTTTTTTTTCTTTGCTAATCCTTTAAGCTTAAAATACAGAAAGATGTTCCATTGCTATAAAATGCTCTAGTATTGCATTGCCCTATGATTGATTCAGTAATTATAACTTCCCATTCTTTCTATTTTGCGATACTTGGTGTAAGTATATTATCTTGTTGTAGAAATGGGTTAATGTTTACATAAATGATGAAAAGGCATCATTGAGTAAAATCGTCTCGGAGAAAATAATGCAAGGAAAACATAGTCACAAACGTAGTCGTGGTAGAAAAATATTCGGGGAAATCATCGCAATTCTAAAAAATAGCAATACGTGTGGTCAGTGATCAAAAACATTGCAGAAGTATGAATGCATCTAAGATATTCAGAATGGTATGAAATATATTTTGATCTTTTGTGGATGTAGTCATCTTAGAGAAGTGAGATTTAGTAAACATCTTAATTTAGTTTTTCGGAAATGTTTGCTATTTTACAAAATGATCGTTTTGGGGAGGTAATCGAAATCGGGTTCATTACATTTCAATTGACGAGAAAATTTAGAACACAGTTTTTCCCTGTTATGAATATTAAATGTTTAATTCGAAATTACTCATCATCATTTTTTGAACTAAGTGCTTTGCTTGTATTTTGCATTAGTAGTTTTAATTCACCATTTTCACTTACTATTTCCGCAATTCCATGATAGATTTCTGAGTAATCACAGAACGTATTGTTGCGATCATCACCCAAAAATTATTACTGATTTCTAATGAAAACTTTATAACACTTCATTATTTTAAAATAGTTCTTAAGACAGAGTTTGTCCAGCCAATCTGAAGACTGCGTGTCGTCAAACTAAGCTGATTTTTTATTTCAGAGGTTGAGAGAAGAAGCTAGAGAGTCTGCCAAAGAGGAAAACTTTACAGCTACTAACGAATGGTTCAACCGATTTAAAACTCATTGTAATTGCTACAGCATCGCGAAAGAAGGGATGCGACAAGTGCAGATAGGGCCGCCGCCAGAGTAGTAGCCTGCCATGTGGTCCAATGGCAGAATTTAGGAAGGTAAAATTTTTCCAACTTACACACAGCAGCAAATTTAGTACCTGCAAGAAACTACACCGCACGGCAAAAAGCTTAGCTCGGACCGTAAGTGTAGATAAGAGATTGCGTCTTGTTTTCCTTAGACACTACAGGCTAGGATGAAGAAGTTGGCTACAGAATACAAATCATATTTTAAAAGTAAGTCTTGCCAGTGATTTGAAAATCACATTTTAAAGAGCTTGGGTGACAGCTTTCGTTTTTTTAAGACTGGTTGTTTTCATGGCATTTTTACCTGAAGTCATTCTCCTGCAACTTGAACTGATTATTTCCTCATGCGTGAAAGTTGTTCTCTTGAATTGCAAGTAAAAGAGGTTTGATTCAACCGATTCAACGAAATAGCTATCAAATATTCAAGCTTATTCCACGAGATGGTCTTCTGACTATCTCCGTATGAAGCCAAACAATCAACTGACTTTTAAAGGTTTCTTTGGATATAATTTAGTGTTTTAAATGTATTAAAAATTGTTTTAAAATCTTAAGAACGGAACATCCCCAAAATTCTTGAATAGTATGTAGAAGACAAAATTCAATTTCTTTTTTCAAAAGCGAGATGAGAACGTCATAAACTGATCAAAACCACTCACGTAACAGAAGTTGTCAATCTTGCCAAGCGATTAGGTTTCGAAGATGATAATTTTCAATCAGCGAGTTGTTGAACTCACACACCAAGGAGCTGACAATCGGTGCGTTTGCAGAGATTGCTTGAGCATGTTCAATACTTCTCATCCGTCACAGACCCAGATCAACCAGAAAAAGATATGATTATTGCAAACTTGACTAAAACCTTCGGAAGAAGTATTTTAAATGTTGACTCAGTCGGAAAAGGCTTATCGGCTCAGTTGACAATGTTTATACTCGTTGAATCAATGAGGCAGACCTTGAGTAAGACGTAAAGCAATGAATAAAAAGAAGTAAAATTTTGCTATGGAGAAAATTTACGTGATAAAATATAAAGTCATGGAATCAAGAGTTGTTAAATTTTCTGAAACCACAGCCACCGAAATAACTACCTTACGTAAGACATTTATTACAACTTTGATTTGACATCTATGAGCATTATATTATTTTCTTCAGAACCAATATTTCTTTAGCCTATGGCCCTATTTAACTAAAATTCTTACACAGTGCCGACCTACCTATTTACGCCAATATTATAGCAAAGCACTCAAGGGCTATTAGCCTACGAATAGTTATTCCTTCGTGGGAAACGTTCAAGGAAAACTGCCTTACATATACATTAGACATGAGGAAGGCCAGGAGAATGCCCATGCAGCCAGCCCATTCGGCGGGACTGAAATCTCGAACCAAACTACCTGTGTTTAGGGACTTTACCGCTGGGCCGCTTGTGAACTTCACGTGAATTTGAGTTATTCGATTTTCGTGGGTCCTGCCTATTACTTATCTTCCAGGTATTGCTGATCATTATCACGTTTTTGAGGTCACCTGACGCCTGTGCTACTGTAGCAACAAACTTCTACAAAAAAGAAGGGTGTCCGCCGATAACATCGCGGACGAAAACGTCGCTGAGAAAACAACGCAAGGCGAAAACGTCGTGTTACGAAACATCGTGGGAGAAAACATCGCAGTTCTAAAACATCATGGTACAAAACATCGTTGTCGAAAATAAAGCGCTTCAAAAACTTCGCAATTTAAAAACATCGTCGTCGAAAATATCGTGATAAAAAATAAAGTATCTACAAATCATCGCATGACGATAGCATCGCAGACATGCTTTCAGGCTTTAGTAACTGTAAATGGATATTCCCATAATGATTTGTGAGCGCAAGATGGAAAGAAGGATAATTTTTACTTTCAAAGTTTTTATTAACTAATAAATTTTTACTGAGAAAATAAGAAGGAAACTTAAGCACAGCAAATTATTACTACTTATAGCACTTAATAGAATTTTAAACTGACATAGTTAATTAACAAAGGCCATTAATAAATCATTTTTATGAAGTTTTTACTGGTAATTTTTCATGAAAAGTATAATCTATAAGTTGCATTTAATTTTCTATGCTTAAGTTTCCTTCTTACATTTTCAGCAAAAATTTATTAATTAATAAAAAAATGTGAAACTAAAAATTATCCTTTTTTACATCTTGCGCTCACAAATCATTATGGGAATATCCATTTACAGTTACTATAGCCTGCAAAAAAGCATGCCTGCGATGTTATCGTCATGCGATGATTTGTAGATACTTTATTTTTTACCACGACATTTTCGGCGACGATGTTTTGTACCACGATGTTTTAGAACTGCGATGTTTTCTCTTTGCGATGTTTTCTCCTACGATGTTTTGTAGCACGAAATTTTCGCCTTGCGTTATTTTCTTCTCGACGTTTTCGGCCGCGATGTTTCCGGCTGTAACCAAAAGAAGACTTAAAAAAGTCGTCCTGCTGACCACAAAAATAAAATTTAGAAGAGGAATCTTTTTTTAAAGCATGAGGTATTGGAAAATTAAGCTTAAAAATATGAGCTACTTAGTATTACCTGCAATAAAAACTGAATTTTGTTATGATAACAAAACAAAGGAATAGTTTCCAGTTTCCTTTCGTTTCAAAGAAACAGCTTCAATATGATATCAGATTAAAAAAAAATTATATAATATAATTTTATGCACTGCATAATACGTTTAAAATGTTTTTTTAATAATTTAAATCATTCTGATGTTGTATTTAAGGAAACATTTTCCATAAAGTATTCTTTCCTCTCTATACAAATTGTATGCAAATTCGCTTTAAAATTAGACGCTTGTTTTAAAGATCTCAGATGTGTTAAATTAAGAAATATATACTATAGAATAATAAAAAAAAATTAATAAATATTAAAAAAGAAACATTTTAATGAGTTTTCAATACACTTAACTAAAATAACTAACTTGTCTTTAATTATCACAATTAGCATTTCTTTTAAGGAATTAGCTTCCTTTAAAGGAATTTTATTACGTAAAGTTTTTTAATGGCTGTTTATATTATCGTCTATAGCAGAACATAAAATAACCTCTAATACATGTTGAATAAGGCTGTCATCCTGATTGAGGATTGTTTGTAGTTTAGCTGAGGTATTATTGGCAGTATGAAAAGCATTTGTACATAAACCGTTGCCGTCAAATAGTGGCTTTTAGTGTTGTCACTGATTCTCGGTGACCTCTCTGTACCCTTGACTTCTGGAAACATGAAAATGATGTAATAAAAAGTTACAGTTTTTTTACATTATTTTTTAATAATGTAATAAAAATGACAGAGATTCTGCAGGATTGTATGACGAATCAAACCGGAAATGAAGAAATTACTGAAAATTTTAATTTAGATTAAGGAAAGAGCTGTATGTGAATATGTACATTACTGCATGACTGGCATAAAATCCAACGCTTACATTATCTTCAGATTAGGAACAATATTGATCTGAAATAATCACAATGTAACGCTAGACTTATTGCATTGATGGATTAAAAGATGCTCATGTATTAAGGATTCCCAAACAGTGTTGTTTAATGGACATAATTTGCGCCATCAAATGATTCGACAAAACTTTATTGTCATTTCTAGGCCTTATCTGCTTCAGAAACGGAGAACGACAATGAAAATTTCGACAAAGAAAAAGCCATGAAACAGCTTCTTGCAAGTCAGGAATTGGATGGTTCCTTTGGAAATGTTGTGAACACTTATTATGTTCTACCACTTCTTAATAACAGAAGTTTGGTGAATATCAGCAACAAGCATTGTCAAGATTTCGAAATGGATGGTAAACCATTTATTATCTATTAGTAACAGTTAGTAAACTATATCATGGAAATTGCTTGGTAAAAGAGTACATCACATAAATTTGATTGTCAGATAAGCACGCCATTTTAAAATTATAAATTAAGCAGAAAAGCAAGTTCAGATTGGAGCAATTTTGAATACAACTTCATTGTTTCGAGAGCGACCAGACATAACTGCAAATTCTTAGGCAAAAATATTTTGCTTCTTTGCGATTAAAGAAGAAACACATGTTTCTGATTGCTCTAAAATGCGGTAGAGTTTTATTCCAAATATACGCTAATCAAAAACCATTCTTTCTTTCTTTTTTTTTTTTTTTTTTTTTTTTTTTTTCTCGTGTGCATACGCGCGCGCAAGTGTGTGTATGTGCCTGATTTTAAACTTTTACAGAAACTATCCTTATCTAATTTTTAAACATTATAAATTTCATTGAACGAAATTTGTACCCTGGAAAAATATAAATTGTTATTACTTCACATGCGGGATATTTGTATTCTCATATGTAAGTAATCCAGGCGAATAATACACAGCTACCACTTTTCTTCAATAAGCGAAAATGTTCCTACAATTCATTAACTTGAAATGGAATAATACCATAAAAATTTCTTCTCTATATTTTGAAAAAACTGTTTTGAAGAATTCGATTTTAATATATAATTTTATATTTCGTATCTTAAATTTATAAGGATTTATTCATATACTAGGATGTCTATCGTAAACCGTTCAGATTAAAGTTACTTCAGGTATTAAACTGGAATCTAAATATGAAGATCAAATTGTAACTTTCCTTTAGTTTTTACTATATTTACACTTAAAATATTCAATTATAAAAAATATAATTAATTTTTCTTTATGTTTATTTTACTTATTTTTACTTTTTTTTTAATATTTAACGGCAAGGTTATAATTTGAAGTTTTCAGATTGCACCTTCCCTCATTGATTTTGCTAGACATGGTTTTAAGAATGTTATATTTTTAGCTACATCGAGCTTTTTAGTTTTTTTAAAAGTTTATTAATTAAACAAATTCTATTTTTTAATAATATCGTATAAGATATGTACATGATTTATTTAGGAAAGATTTCATTTTCGATTGCTGAAGATGCATGAGAACAGAAAATAAAGTAAACGAATATTTGGCCCTCATTAATAAATATTCTATTTTAATGAAATTATTATATATTTAAATGATTTTAGAGAAATTTGGGGATTTAGTATGTTTTGCTACCATAAGATGGTAACTAGATCTTCCTAAGTGTTGGTCTTGCGACTTCTCGCACAGACTTGAAGATGAAGACAACCAGGGAAAGGATGTAAAAAACCCTTTTACTGATCACAAAATGGTTAACAGAAGTACGGACTTAGGTGCATCAGTGTTTTTTACGCGCGTTACGTAAAAAACAACACCGATCGCTTACGGTGAGAAATTACAAATTAGTTTAACAATAAATTTAAAGGTAAGGATGTAGACTGCACAATTCAATTTCATCTAAAAGGTTAACCCAGGAAAACCTACGCGGGCGGGATAATGACTTGATGGCAAGAATGCGTAGAAGCTATTAAAACTAAAAGGTAACAAACGTGCGCTTTCACTAGCGAAATCACGTTCTGTCTAACCTTTTCGCTCTAACAGTTTAAATACTCTCGTTCACCTGCTTCAATTACATCCTGGCGAGGAAATGAGAAGGGAAGTAAGATAATTCAGGAAAGGCTCACAAATTAAAGTAATGTTAAGTAAAACTAAGTAAGATCCTACCAAATGATATGTGTAATTGTAGTATCTCATGTATAACATAACATGAAAGGCCTCACTAGAGATTAGCTTGGCCGGAAAAATAAGGTTACAGGAGAATGTCCATTTAACACTAATGTAAAATGATATGATTTTGGACACTAGTTTTTGTAACCAATTTGGGCGAGAAATTGCCAAAAGTCTCCAAACTAGGCGACCATTGGGTACATTTTGTTCTGATTTCTGTGTAACTGTAACTGGTCGTTCCCTATGTAACTATAACTGCATCCGACCCAGTGTATCCACAACTGTATATGCCTTCCAATATCGGTTCTGCGTGCACTCAATCCATTACGAATCCGTACGTACGTATCATAACGAATCCGAACGTAACACTATTATTTATGAAAATTACAGAGCTATATCTAATCTTGAGAAATGCACTGAAGCTGTAGAATAGTTGGATCAATATGCATAAGTAAATATTATAGTGTCGGAATAAACGCGATATATGTAAGATCTACACTTTGGAGTTGCCCTTGGCTGAGTCTTCCGGGTCCTTAAACAGAAACTTCCGTTTCACGGCGTATAACATGAAAGCCGTAAATCTACCTTTAACAATCGTAGAGATAAAATAAAAATAGTTTTGGGAAGCTTAATATATATGCTTTAAAATAAAGAAATAAAAAGATTTGAAAAACTTCATCAAAACTGACAATTAGAACGTGGTCTGATATCTTAAAGAAACGCCTTCTAACATTATAGTGCCACTGAGTTATTTTTATGTGGGAGGCGAGACAAATGTGCAAGGCCTTCGCCGGGACGGGCAACTGGAGATTAGAGGACCCATCGCCAAATCCTGGTGGTGAAGAATCAACATCCACCAACTTTTAGTTCAGGTGCTACTGTAGAGAAACTAGGTAATTTTAAAGCAGAAGACGAGAAAAATGTGCAGTGCCCTCATCAGGACTCGAACCTGGATCTTTCGAACACGCGTCCAGTGTGCTAATTGTGTCACGCCGAAGGCATTTTTGAAAGAGAGAGAAAAATGCCTTATAAAATACTGAAAAAGGGATAGCTATTTAACGTGAAGAGAACTGCTCGCAAAAGACTTGAACGCTTTTGTGAAAGTATTAGGCCAAATAAAGAAAGGTGGCTATAGAAAAAGAGACTAATTTCAAGGGGGCATGCCAGTCTGTATTTCAAGTGCGTGATTTCCATATTTCAGCGTAATACAGCAATCAAGAATGTCTGAATTTCCAAGAAATGGGATTAATGTTTAAAGTATCTACAGTGAAATACTTTCCGCTGAATTCTAATTGTTAGAGGAAGTTCTTCAACAGTGAATTATTTGTGTTCAAATTCTGAGTAATATGAATGCTCTGATTAAATGTGGTAGCGTTAAGTGATTTATAATACCTTCAGTGATATTTCAGTGTTAGTGATCAAGTTCATTCACAATTAGGCAATTTAAAGTGTCACAAGTAAAATAGTATAAGCAGATTCATGCCATCCTCGGAAGTCCTCCCACAGTGGTTTTTATTATTATTATTTTGCAATTTTTATTTATTTATTATATGTGTAAATGTGTTCAAATTCTGCGTAATATTTATGTTCCGTATAAGTGTTAGTAGTTGTTAAGTGATTTATTGTGTTTTTCATCAGCGAAATATCAGTGTCAGTGAATTATTAGTCATCAGTGAAAGCTTTCACCAGTGAATTAGTTGGGCTCACCTTCAGTGATTTATTAGTGTTCAGCATTAGTGTTACTAGTGTTACATATTTCATAGTGTCACCAGTTAATGATGGTGACAGTTAATATTTATTGCTCTTATTATGCTTCATAACATCCTGTAGTCTTGATTGTGCCAACATTAATAAGCATTACCATCAATAAGTTTTTTTTATATCTTTGAGCTATTGTACTACCCAATGCGATCACTACGAAGCTCAGCCACTCGCAGTGAGTAATTAAATTTTAGAAACGGATCTCTCGCAGCAACCACTCTGTCTCCCAGAAGATGTTTCAACCTCCATAGAATCTTCAAATTCGGTAACAGACTTCTACGCGATTATCGATTAGCTACACGAAGCATGTCTCCAAGTTGTCCACATGAAGCGCTGTAACAGATCTTTCCACCCTAGCGACATTTTAGACGATCTGAAACAAAAACTGGCAAAACTTTTAACAGCCGCAAAGACACGCAGCATCAACCAGGTTTAGGAAGTGTCTATAAATACCGACCCACCTAGAATCACAGCTACCTTAATCACGTGATTTCCAGACCTATCCTCAAGCAGTGAAAGTCCCAAGACAACCAACCCCAACTCTTCCCATCTCCCTCAGAAACAGAAACCACCAGGAATATGCTTAAAGAAAACCTTGCTGAGGAATTCCCTTTCAGCGACATAGGAATCAACGTTTAAAGTGCGCGTCATATCCAGAAAGGTGACATACTAAAGAAGACTTAGCCAAGTTAGTAAACATTCTTTGTAGCGAAAAAGGAAAGTCTCTACTGAACACCCAAACTCCAACAGTCCGGCTATAGTCCGGCTAACGCTAACGAGAATGGCCATTAACGCACCAGCAGTTCCACATCAAGATCTCAAACGTCCTCTAGAACCAGAACAGTATCAGTAAGAACGCAATAAAGATTTTATAGCGGTTAAAAGATCGCGGCAACAATGCCAAAGGGATTGTGGAGTGCAAACCAACAGCCTTCCGAATGATACTGCAGGCCCCAAGTCTCTACATAGTTTTTTTTTGGTTTATTAGATTACGGCAAAGCACTCGAGGGCTATCTGCCTTAAGGGAGGGATGCCTTCGTGGAGGACTTTTTAAGGGAAACTGGCTCGTATACACGTTACACATGGGGAAAACCACGAAAACACCCATGCAGCCAGCCCGTTCGCGGGATTCGAACCTCGGACCGAACTACTAGTGTTCAGCGACGTTACCGCTCGGCCGCTGGTGGGCCAGTCTCTACATAGGATAAGGCGCATAGAATTTCGGAGCACTTTACCACCAAAAGCAGCTATCAGTGTCAAGAACTTCGCCACACGCAGCAACAATGCAGGAACAAATTTTTTGTGCGTTTGCGAAGAAGGGCACAAAATCAAAGAATGTAACGAAATATGGCCTACATGGATCAACGGCGCTGATTTCAATAGCAGAATATGTAGCACTACCCCATGTGACCAAACAGCCTACTACACAACATGTCCCATTTATAGGACATACATTGAACGTGTTAAGAGCAGCACCATATACCACTATCTTCTGTTTTCCACTCAGCAATCCTCCCACAGTCAACTGTAAGAACACAGTACCAACAGAAAAATTCCATAATACTTACCAAAGTGTCAAAATTGCACAAATAAATCTGCAAAGAGCGTATGCATCTAACGCAAAATTAGAAATATCCCTTTCAAAGAACCTAAAATACATTGTGCTAATCGAAGAACCGTACTGTCTGTGGCAAAACAGGTGCCGTTCCAAGCAACTGAAACACTTTCCAGCATACGGTGGTTCGCAAAAATTCAGTAAGAGCAGCAATTATATGCCAAAACAATAGCTGGTATCCAGCGATTATCTTCTTCTCTAGAGACTCTTTATAACAGTAGCTCTTAACACTAAAATGAGAGCAAATTCTTTTCACCTCTTTCCACAGCTCTCCCAATGAAGCGCACGTTGGCAACAAGGGAAATGAGGAAGTGGATGCCCTAGTAAAAGAAGCAGCTAAAGGTATAAATGCAACGAAATTAATCGTTCCATGGCCAAGATCCCATCTTAAGATGCAACTAAAAATACATTTAAAAAAGCATGGCAACACTGGTGGGTTTTGTCCGAATAGGGCAGTCGCACGAACGATCTATATCCAAGCATAAACTCCACAGCAAACTTCGTCAGTAATCAAATAGCATGGATGATCTCAGGGCATGGCCCTTTTCCCACATGCTTCTACAAGAGAAATCTCGCGTATGTGGGGAGAGAAGCGATCCAGAGCATCATTACCTATTCACATTAATCCATAACAAGTCTCCACCTGACAAAATCAAGACTATAACAAGATGTCATTCCGTACGTCAAATGCGCAAACAGTAATAGCCATATGAGGAAGCGCATTATCCAAATATATTCTGACATCAAGGGTCTAGAACTCTTCAACACAGAGTGATCCCACCCAAATCATTATGCAAAGATTCGGCACCTCGGCACCAGAATGGTGCCTCGGGCTCCAGGAAGACGGTGCTACTATGCATAGCTTGTGTAAGGGACCTATACCTACTTAATCAGGGTAAATAATAAGTGGCCCTGCACTTATAGCTAACCTAACCTCACCTAATATGTAGAGACTTTAATCCTTCCTATTGTGCCTGAAATATTTCAATTGCTTTTTCAACTTGATTAATTTCTTTATATGCAGAGAAAAGAAGCCTCTGGAATTTAGTGAATCAACCTGGCCCAAAATGGCACATTCAGTATTCTATTTGGATAGGAGAAAATAGGGACTTGGAAAGGAATCTCAGGCTGAGGGTGCCGACCAACATCTCCCTCTACGCCATTATGGAAACGGCAGCTGAAGTAGATTCCAAATTCAGGTATTAATTTATGGTTTATTTACATGTAAGAAATGATGTAATTCAAATTTAATTTCCCGATTTCAAGGAATGCTTAAATAAAAACTATTGTTCCTATATCTCAGATGCACTGACGACATATACGTAATATCTTCTTTTATGGTAATAGTAACAGGGATGCTCTTTTGACAAAAGTAGTTTTGCGGATCTCTTCACTGTGTAAAATGTACCACCATTCTTTTCTTCCTCCATTATTTTAAACAATGTCAACTAAATGCAGTGTAAAATATTCCATTAGCGTAAGAAAAAAAAAAAAATGCGCTCAGATTTTTAATGGTTGACTAAAAGGATTTGTTAAGATTTTTCTACGCTCTTCATCAGCTCGCACTTTAACAGTCTGCTGTTGCATTTCTTTTTACATTTTCCGTTTCATTATTTAAGCAACATTTGCTTCGTACTTAGAAATTGAGCAGCCGAATAACAAATAGTTTAAAAGCAGCATGTGTTTAGAATTCCCGATGAAGTGTTAACTGTTGGCCTACATTTTTGTATTTGTTTCAGCAATGTACGGATTTCTTAGTAAGATAGCCTGCGCATTTTTTTCGGGTCATTTTGTTATTAGCTTTTCGTGTGTTAAATTTATTAAGCATCATGTTCTACGCACCTAAGTTACATAAAATTCAGTTATAGCAAGATCACAAAATAATTAAAAACAGCATATTTTTAGAATTTCCTATACACAGATTCACGCTGGTTATAATAATGTTTTCATCAGGACAGCGTCGCTACTGCCCGCTTTCAAATCGTTGAGAATGTGAGATTTATCTATTTATTTTTAACTAGTAATTTATTTTGTCTTTCCTATTACTCTCTTTTTACCCAAGTAAAATGTAAATGAAATAGCGAGAGTTTATCCAGAGTAAGGTAGAAGAAAATGCTATTTAAGCAAGAGTTTCGGACGTTAAGGTCAGTTTACACCTGTCAGAGCGGCTCGGAGCGAGTCGCTCCTTAAGATTACTTTGACAATGTAAACGCTCCCTTCGACGGAGTAGAAACGTTAGGGGAGATGAGTCAGCGTTTTCCGTTTCTACTTTGAACCTGTTGAAAAAATCTCTCCGGGCAGTTACTCCGAGCAGCGTTCGCAGGGATGCGTCGTGACAATGAGTTTCTATAATGCCTGAGATTAAGCGATAGCCAAACCATGGCACTTTTTAATGCATATACATCTTATGAAGTGTTTTACTTCTATAATTATGTGAGCTTATATTCATTTTTCTCTACAAGCATCCCTACATGAGGATGCAATAAATATGATAAACTATAAAAATAAAAAATAAAAATAATTATGAAAAAGATATGTAGATCTGTTTTATTGGGGATATTTAAATTTCTTGCCTTGTATAAAAACATTCTGGGCTATAATTCGTTACAATTCCGCTTGGATGTGAAACATATTCAGCTTGGATGTGTGAGTGCAAGTACTGAAGGTGTATTAAGGTTTTTATACAAATTATGCTAGATGAATTCTAATCTCCTTAAACTATCCGTTTTAGCATTTTAAAAGTAAAGTATAATCACTATATTTACGGATTATTAATTTTGTTGATATCACTTTGTGCGTTGTCCAGAAACACAATTTCAGTAGGATCCAAAAGTAACAATTTGCGATAAATATCTTCCTCTTCGAACTATGTCATAATATATATAATCTTTTACCTGTGGTAATATATGTAATGCTCCCAAGTTTTTTGCTACTTCTTATTTATTTAAGATTTTCTGAATAATTAGGTAGATATCATACAGTTTACTTCTGTCGTGTTAATGGTAGCTTTGAATAAATATTCCATGTGTTAATTTTGCATTCTTCTCTAGAAATAACACATTTCCAGTCAGAACTCTCCATAATTAATTCATGCACAGACAGCTACTGATTCTGTGGATTCTGGATGAATAAATATATTCTTTCTATTAATAAATAATAAAACACATTATTACTTTTACATTATTTTGTAAATGATTAATTAGGTGTAAATAAACAGTTGTATATAGTAGAAAAACTTTGTTAATTTGACTTTCAGTAACCACAGTTGACTAAATAACTTCTCTCAAACTGAGTTTCTTTTAAATTCTTGTATCTGATATGCAATAACTTTTTTGTAACTTTGGACATTCTCGTCCGAAATTCATTTAATAGTTCATTTGATACTCCTAATTCATAGCGGCAAGCTACCTAATCACGTACCCATTTTTTTTTCCTTCTTTTTTTTTTCCTCCCAAGAGCAGAAATTAATTCGTTTGAAACTGCTTCGCAGACTTCAAGCACTGCAGCCTAAGAACATCTATTGTATGTTCAATGCATATTCTTTCCTGCAGCTGCGACGTCGGTATCCATTTCGTAAGCAAACGGAGGCGAATTGTCAGTCCACTCTGATTGGTGTAAACAATCTATCAGAGTACAGGTCCGTTCAGTCGGTTCGAAACGCCCGGACGAGCGGCTCGCTACGAGCAGCTTTGACAGATGTAAACTGGCCTTTAGTTTTTAGAGCGTGTCTGCCTATTCCAGGGCACGGTGTACTGTGATTACTAGCGACTTGCTTTAGCGGCGTTGATTGCTCTAGCCATTGAGCTTTGTCTAGCCGGTTTACGCCAAATCAGAGCGCGTTAAAGAACCGTTTCCTGTGCGTTAAAGTATTCTTTGAGCCGTTAGGCTAACCTACCACACCATGAAATTATTATTGTTAAATGGGTTTCTTAAGCTAGAAGTGCTTGCCTTATTGTAATCCAAGGTGGGTCATTTATTAATTTATTGCGTTACAATCAAAGAGTCTTATACACCCTTCTTCTGATTTCTGTCTTGTTTCACAAGGCTAGAAGATAATTCTTTAATAGTCCTTTTTAAAGTCTAATTTGGGACATTAAATGTTCGCAAAGAGACATAGACTTTACAAGTTTGTGAAAAATTCAATGAAGTTTTGTAAACTATGCAACATAATTCAGAAGTCAAACAACTAAAATCAGCGTTATATTTTCAAATTTTTACAGGACTAGTTTCGATGGTTTTACAGAACCACCATCCTCAGCTGCAAAAACGCAAATGAACGGGATAGGATATAATGATCAGATAAGATAAGAAAGCCTCGACAGAAAATAAGCTGGTGGCGCCGTCTGTTCATGAAACCAGAACTAAAACATTATTTCTTTAAAGACCGAAGGCAAAGATGGAGTGGAATTAGGATCGCTAACTAGAACAGGAAGATTGTTTGGCCAATGCAAATTAAACACACTGGCAAGGAGTCCTACAAATATCCCATGAATTCATATCCGGAATGGGTGTCTTTGAGTATGGAACTCGGAATTTTATTGATGGGAGAATAAACGACCCGAAAGTTAAATTTATGGGAAATATGTGCAACTTTAGGTAATTGATGGAAAGAAGGGAATGACAAAAGAATTTTTATAATCTCCTAAAACAAGAGTGTGCCTTTTAGTGTGTTGAGATGAGAATTTTTTAACTGCTTGATTAATAATGCTGGATGAAAAGCCCCTGTCAATAGCTATTGCTTTTAAATAATATACTTCTTCATCGAGGGATAGTTTGGAGGGGCAAACTTGAAGAGCACGGAAAAGATAGGAATAAAATGAAGCTAATTTTTCTTTAGTCGGATGACATGATTTAAAGTGTGATTTTCGGACCAACAATGCTGCGCAACAGGCAAACTGATGAAGGTTTACAATAAACGCAACGTAGTACTGAAGTTGGATGTGTTACGTGCGACCAAGAATGTTCGAGAAACGGAAGATAATTGCAAGTCTCAAGTTTCAAAAGGTAAGCTGAATAGCAGGATCAATGGAATTCATTCTTGAAATGAACTGTTATTTAAATCATCTTTATTACCTTTCAAGACAGAGGAAAAGTATTCGTCTTACGTAGCGGAACCATGCCAGGAAGTTTAAAGTTTCGAACAATTTTTGATTCATAATAATGCATGTAGATATCAGCCAACATAGGACAACATAGTCAACATAGGACTGAGGGGGCTTCCCATGACTAATCCCTCAGTTTGCTTGTAATTTTTATTTTTGAAAACAAAATGTGTTTGTTTCAAACAGAGTTGAGTTAGAGAAATTTGCTCATCAATTTCGATACAAGAGAAATGAAATTCGCGAAGTCTGGTTTCTACACATCTAAATGCACCCTCCACTGGAACATTGGTGAATAAGGATTTTACTTCAAAAGAAACCATGAGTAAATTTCTAGGAGAAATGGTTTTAACCTTTTTTACAAACTCTATTGAATTCTTTTGTACATTATTAATACATTACTAATCAAGCAGTTAAAAAACCGATGAAGGTTGACCGTAAACCTTCATCGGTTTGCCTTTTACGACACTTTAAATCATGTCATCCGACTAAAGAAAAGTTAGCTTCATTTTATTCCTATCTTTTTCGTGCTCTTCAAGTTTGCTCCTCCAAACTATCACTTGATGAAGAACTTAATTATTTAAAAGCAATAGCTATTGGCAGGGAATTTTCATCCAGCATTATTAATCAAGCAGTTAAAAAATTCTCATCTCAACACACTAAAATGCACACTCTTGTTTTAGGAGATTATAAAAATTCTTTTGTCATTCCCTTCTTTCCATCAATTAGCTATAAAGTTGCACATATTTTGCAGAAATTTAACTTTTCGGTCGATTATTCTCTCAATAAAATTTCGAGTTCCACACTCAAGGACCCCATTCCGGATATGAATTCCTGGGGTGTTTATAGGATTCCTTGCCAGTGTGGTTTAATTTACATTGGCCAAATTAAGGGAACCTTAAAATTTCGCGTCAAGGAACATGAGGCATATGTTAGAGAAAAGGACACACAGAAGTCTTCTGTTCCCCAACATTGTTGGTCCGGAAATCACACTGGATTTTCTAGAGGCATTTCACATTAAAAAAATCTTTCTGTTCTAGTTAGCGATCCTAATTCCAATCCATCTTTGCCTTCGGCCTTTAAAGGAAATTATGTTTTAGTTTGTCTCTTTCCATCAATAGATGGCGACCAGCTAGCTTAATTTCCTGTCCAAGGTTCATTACTATCTTATTTTGATTCATTATTCACTATCCCGTTCATTTGCGTTTTTGCAGCTGAGGATGGTGGTTCGGTAAAACCATCGGTAAAACTTATTTTTTACTAGATATTTTAGGTTTTCATGCCAAAGAATAGAACTGAAATTTATTGTAACGTTTCAGGGAATGATATCACCCTTATAATACGGTATCAAGTCGCAGAACAGCATTTTCAATCGCAATGTCATATATCACTTTAAAAACATTTTAAAACACAGACAAGTTCCAAGTGGAAAATATTTTAATAAGACTGAGGAACGATGGCTTTTAAACAGAGCCGAGTGGCGCTAAGAAACAGAGAAAAAAAATCTGATATGGCCAGCAGATGACTTCTTGCCATTTCCATGTTAAGACAGATAATTCGCGGAATGACAACGAGATTCAAGTAAACTATCACTTCCGGTTGATCATTTGTAATAAATTAATATAATTTGTTAATAATCTTTATGGCTCAATGATAAATACTACTAACTATTTATTATTCTGCTATCCCATACAATGGCCTATGATAACTATACAGTCTCATGCCCACATCCATTCTCATGCTTTGATTTGAAAGTAAAGCATCAATCGTAGTATATCCTCTAATCATGTAGTGTTTCGGATCCACCATCAATGACTTAAAAATCACAAAATTTTTAAAAGCAGTATATCTTTTGAATTCCAGATAGGTTATTAAGTGCTGTCATTACATGTCTTATTATGTTTGCTTAATTATTTTTTTTAAATAATGAGTAGCAATTTACATGGAGATTTTAATAGTATAGATTCTTTCTATATCTCATCAAAGAACAGCGTTATTTACTTTGGCTATTGTAGATGATTTCTGATCTTTAACTGTAGATTGTCATTAAAGCCGTGTATAGAAAAGATTGATTTTTAGTAACTACTAGAAGCTATTCAGTTAAGAATGGCTCCTTTCCTAGCTCGATGAGAGATGTAAAACTTTAGTTCTTTCTTTCAAATTCTTATTCTCATTTCCACGTAGAACCTACCGTTTCCACGGCAAGAAATCTTCCTAATAGCTTTTATTCTCAGATGCGCATTAACGAGATTAATTGAAGTTCCTCAGGCAGATCTTCTGTCTTGAAACGGAGATTCTGCTCTAAGAATACGTTTATAAGACTTTACTCGATCTGCTAAAAGTTAAATAGCCCAAAACCCTAATTGATGTAAAGCGAACTATTGCTATGTCTGAAAGGAACTGCAGAAACTCGGAAAGCTTTAAAATAAAACTTTTCATTTAAACAGGAGCTTTGAACATCAGTCCACGCCCTTGTGCCAATAAATTAGCCACAACTCATGGTGATACAACTTCCGCGTAAGTGGAAAATCTATCGTACCTAAGATCTATCTTTCTATATGAAGAACATTATATATATATATATATATATGATTGACTCAAAGCAAGATTAAGTTAAACCCTTATTTACACTATATACAATTAATCAGAAGTCTTCATATGGAAAATTGTAGAAATCAAAGAATAAGGCTTAACACGCCATTCTCGTCTAGCATCTAACATCTAATTAACTTTTACTTCAGGTGAGGGCGCTCCTGTCGCGGTATGACATCATATTTCTCTACAACAAATAATAACAACAAATAAGGATACTGTCAATTTCAATTAAAAACGTAGACTGGTAGCATACACAATTAAATTTAATTTTAGGTTTCCTCAGATTTACTAATTTGCGTATAAAATTCAAATGTGGGCAACATTAACAAAAAGCCGAATGATTACAAACTTATCAGAGCTGGAAGGAACTGGAGTAAGGTACCCGTAAAAGGCGGAAATTTGCTGTACCTTATCATTCAAAACCTCAGTTTAAACATTATTTAACTGATTTACTTTCTGAGGGAGGAAACGGAAAGTACATGTTGTAGTAAAAGCTGAAATTATAAACAAGTGGTTAGTTCCAAATAATAAACTTGCACATTAAAAATATTATTTATGGAATGATTCATTATTTTTATGTCTGCAATCTCCATTTACCTCTTAATAGGAAAGCAAAACTTTTTCAAATCATATTTTCTCCTTACAGTACTCTCATGTTTTTTTGCAGTTTCCAGTGCAATGTAAGAAAAAGAAAGCCCTACATCTTCTCGCTATATGGTTTACAGGATGATCCCGAAAATCAAAAGTACTGGCTTCCCTTTTTTGTTAAAAAAGAAAATGATGAAATAAAGTATCTGCCAATTACAAAGAGTAAGTACAAAAGTGAAACTAAAGACCAAAGTGGAATTTATATTGTTTCTTACTTTGTAGTTTTGTATCTAAAAAATCCAAAGTTTTACTTCATAGAATGAAGATCAACATTTTAAATCAATTAGTTAGTAATAAAAAAGCTTTGACTTTGAGATATTCGTTAGTAAAGTTTTTACGTAGAAAATATTGTTAGCAAATATGTGTCGCTTTGTCATGCTCATTAGTTACACCATTGTTCCATTAAGCCATTTAAGATTTATGTTCTTAATTTAGTTCTCAAAATTATTTCACATACCGCATAGATACAATAATTATATTTTGACACACAATCGGACTTTTTCTGAAATGACATGCCGATCCTTTACCATATTTCGATTCTACTACTCAAATTATCCCCAAATATTAAATTTTATAAAATTTGGTGAGAAACTTATCGAGAAATTGAAATACTTATCTTGGTGCACTTTTTTCAATTTGCGGCAAGAAATGTTTGCGAAAGTTTTAATTTGTAGCAAGCTATTTTCCTTTCACTTTTTTATTTCTGCTTGAGCGAAAAAAAGGGTGCATTGTTCATTATCTCAAATAATTTTTAACAAAGTTCGTAAAGCACCTTTGTCGTTATATAACTAATACGGCAAATTTCTAAATGCGTCAGTATATAAATTCACTTATTCACGTATATCTATGGAAATTTTGAATAAAAATATGTTAGGTATACATCTACTTTAAGGTGATGGTAAAAATATTATAGTTTGTGTTTCAAAAATTTTTTTAAGTTACTAAAGAATATAAATTTTAAAAACAAATCCGTAAACAGCTGCGAATTTTATGTGTATTGAACATAAATTCGAATTGTGTAAAAAGGAATCAAGTAAGTTTAATGAAAAATGCGATTTTAATAAATATGTACCAAATTCAATTAACATTGAGCAGTTAAAATTTTGAGAGCTAATTTTTTAAAATTTACTCTCGCGATATTTGCAAAATTTAGCTCTTTTCAGAATTTGAGTAGTAGAATCGAAATATGGAAAACAATTTGTAGGTCATTTCAGAAAAGTCTGATTGTGTGCCAGAATACCTATATTATGTTGGATAAAACAATCTAATATATATCCTAAATCTCACTTTCAGTACATGAAAGGTGCAAGGTAAATTCCGTTAGGCCCAGTAGAACGGGGGATATAGAACTGGACTTTTTTCTTTATTTAGGGGGTGGGTAGAGGCGCAAGGTATACCTAGGTACCCAACAGAAATCTGTAATATGGACTCAAGTTACAATTTCTAGATTAAATATAATTCCTAAGATTAAATATATAAATACCATTACTTAATGCAAAAATACAGAAAGAACACATACGTATCAATCTGTGTTCGAGACGTGAATGAGCATTAGGAACATAAATTCATGCTGCCTTTTTCACGTGAGATTTCGGAATCCGATAAGTCTCGTGGTTTGCTAGTGCGATGCCTCGAGTTCGTCCACGAATTACCTATCATCACCTATAACAAACGGAGAGAAATTAAGTTCTTGAATTCAAAAGGTGTAGATTCATCAATTTTGCAGATAGCCGCGCCTTTAAGCCAAATGTCAGCATTACTCAATATTGTGTTTGCTACGAGTTGCAGGAACGGTGCCGGATATGGCTACAAGTGGTGGCCAGAGACTAACTTTCCGCTTGGACGGATCATAGAATTAGATGAATGGCGGTTTATAATGTTTAATGTACTGTGAATGAATTTGGAAGTCATATACTAAACTCAGGATGTCTAACATTATCTTCATAATCCCTCGGAAGGCTGTGGTACGTTACTGAGCTACGAGCCAGACGACTAGCGACGGTCACTTCTTATGCTGAATATCAAATCGACAATGGAGCGTAGTTAGCAGAATAATCCTGTTAGTGATGTAACTTCTACTTGCTTCCTATCTGCGGCGCGGGGGAGGGGAATTGTTTCTAGCCCCAAATTTCTTCTCTCTACCTACTATTGTAACTTGCTCGTGAACTTGTATTGTGTTCATTATAACAACAATGCTTGATGTTCGATGGACAAAATCCATCGAACTTGCAATCAGCAATAATTTTCAGTTTCATTTTTAATAATTTGAACCATGAGTATTTTTCTTGACTTTAAGCCACTGCGAGATGCCAGATTTCTTTCGAAAGCTTATCAAACAAAGACTGTGACAAAGCCCCAAAGTAATTTTAAAATAGGAATATTGAATTGTTCTCTTACTTTTTTCCATTATTTAAATATTAGGGTCTTTTCCATTTGTATTCACGTATTTGTTATTATAACACAACATACGTTAAATAATTTTCTGTAAAAAGATATATGCACCAGTTTTATATTTTCAACTAGGAAACGAAATGAGCTCATTTCGATTGTGGTAACCAGGAGCCCACCAGTGATAAGCAGTTAAGATATCTTCAAATGATTCACAGCCCGCTGGCCGCCGAGCGGTAAAGTCGATGGACATCACTAACTCAACGTAATTTCGATTCCAGGCGAATGGACTGGCTGCATTAAGAGCTTTCTTTAAGCAGATAGCTTTCGCGTGCCTTGATAGAATATGATCAACCAAACAAATCGACTACGGTAAAACGTTTTCTAAACATGATATGTATCTCTTAGTTTTGTTTCTTCAGTATACAACAAAATAGAATAACACACTGTAAAGACATTAGGTATTTTTTCGAAGCAGGAAAGATGAAAAATTAACGCCTTCGCCGGGAATCGAACCACGGACTTCGGACTTGGAATTCTGGCGCAGTGTGCTGACCACTGCATCACGATGGCATGCTAGGAAGGCGTGGGAAATACCTTATATACTCCCCTTTTTAAAGGGCGACTGGGGTTTTTAGGGTATCATATGGCCAAATCCTGGGTGTGGAGAATACTCATTCAGCACCATTTTTTAGTTTGGGCGCCACTGTAGAGACATTAGGTATATTTCTGGAAGCCGAAGAGACGACAAATTAGCAACGCCTTCTCCGGGAATCGAACGACGGACATCTAGAATGCCGGCCCAGCGTGCAGAACCATTACACCACGAAATCACGCTAAAAAGGCGGGGGGAAATACCTGTTTTTAAAGTGTCATAACACTTTAAAAACAGTATGTCATTGTTAAAGCGAGGATCGGAAATGCTTTTGGCAATGTATAAAAATTGCACATTACAGATTGTGCGACTGAACTTGTTAGATTTGGCAACTAACCGCGGTGGCTATTTTAACAACGAAGTACCTTAAAACATTTCCTTTGACATTAGTTACATTGAAAACAAGAGCATTTCTATAAATGGTTAAAAACAAATTAAATTTAACACTGAGGGCAATAGGTAACACTGGCGTGTTTGTGTTTGGTCACGAAAGTGCCTGCTGCATATCGTTCTGTAACGGCGGGAAGCTCCAAATATTGATTTTGTTGCTTGCGTTTTACACATCTTCGTTCCACAATTAAAGTTTACCAGTTGCGAGAATGATGGTCGGATGACAGCAAGTGGTGGCCAGTGGCTAACTTTCTGCTTGGAGCGATCATCGGATAAGATGAATGGTGCTTAATAATCTTGAATGCACTGTGAGTGAATTTGGACATCATATGTCAAATACAGGATGTCCAACATTATTTACATAATCCATCGGAAGCTGTTGCACGTTACTGGGCTACGAGCCAGACCACTAGCGACAGGTATTCCAGTTGTCCCGAGCTAACGCCGCTCTCAAGTCTATTATGTTTACCCGGTAACTTATTATCCTGTATATGAAGTCGGCAATGGAGCCTAGTTAACGCAAAAATGCACAGTAAACGTGTTTGCGATTAAAATTGCCTAATCATTTCTTGCAGCGCTGCTTTCGTAATTTTTCTGATACTTCTCGGTTTGAGGAGTGATTGGAGAACGAAGACATCCATAGTAGTTGTTCTAGGGTGCTCAAAACAATCATGCCAAATTCGGTATGGGTAAGTTGAATGATATAATAACCGTTATCTAATACAAATTACGTACCAATTTCGAGTAATAATATATTTTTATGCAGCGTACTAGAATTCCTCAGTACTAAAAAAATTAATAATGCCACTTTTATAAGGTTTCATTACTTACATAATGAGAAAAAGGAGATCATAGTACAGAAATAATATACTATACGACTGTTGATGTACTAATTTCTCGTTTTTCTGTGTTACAGGTCCAGCGGATGTCATCCCGCAAAACAACGACCATTTTGTTATGTGGTATAAATGAGATTCGTGGATTTAAAAGAAGGAATGAAAATAACATGCTACTATTTTAACCTCTGTACGCGTCAAGTTATTTTTTTTGCTAGTGCCTGGATTTTTATATTTTCTCACTTTTAGTTACAGTTTGATGTCAATATTTTGCCGTAAGATACAATAAAGTAATAAAAGTGAAAATATCACTGGTTTAGAATTTAGGAAGAGATTTTCAATAATGAGAGTGAAAATATACTGAATTTTATGCATGATTTTTATCGTTTCATACCATGCATTTAACTATTCCGTTGACTCTTAGAGCATATCGAATTGTTTTCCCAATATTGTATGATTTCACACATTTTAGGAAGTACCATGAGAGGTTTACTGAATGATACCAAATCTATCAAGAAGAAACCAGTTATTTTTCCTATTTCTTGAAAATTTATAAATAATTGCGATGTGTCATCATAAATGGCAATTTGAAACACGCTATGAAGCAATTTGAAAAGAATTAAAATATTTTCAAAATCTCGTCTCTCATAGAAAAGTTTACATACTTTCACAGTACTTCTGAAGTTATGGAACTTCAATCAAAATTAAGGAAATCTTAACCAATTATATTTATTATATGATTTAATACATTCCTAGTACGTTTTTCCGAAAGTAGAAATTTATACTTCACCTGTGTAAACTATTACATTCAATCATTTTAATTTTATGATATTAATTAGCCCTTTTAGTTTGCAAAACTACTTTAAATGCCCTGTATACTCTTCATATCCATCAGCTTCGCAGTACAGTTACGCAATGCGAACCTGAAGAAAAAAGCTGAATAGCGTATATCATATACAGAACACAGACCAGAATTTTCAAGAAAATATACATTCAGGGTTTGAGAAAGTAACCATCTATGGAAACATCTGCGTTATGTAAAAATCTGCGCGCGTCTGTCTGTTTGTTTGACGGTTTGCTTGGGGCATTATCTCCTCCGAGACGGCGGGGAGTGTAATTTAGAGAGAAGTAACCCCCTTCCGTGTTCTAAAAATTCGTGGGAAGCCATTTCGAGCATTCTCACCTTTGTACCATTTTAATTAGCGAAGAGAGTAATTAAAAACTCTAAAACGCTAATTTTCACCGTCATTTTTCCGAGTCTCAACAGTTTTGCATGCGAAAGATAAAAGTCTGCTTTACTTCGAGTAATGTTGCCACTGCTCGCCTTCAAATCGTAGAGTGTGTTAATAAAACATTTAAGTTTTACAAAATATGGAACAAAAATAGCATTTCCAAATATTATGTATATTATTTCCAATCCAAAAATTCGCGGGAAGCCATTTTGTCCATTCTCATCTTTGTACGACTGCGAGTAAATCTCTAAAAATTCTAATTTTCATCCTCATGTTTGCGAGTGGCAACAGTCTCGCACGTTGAAGATAAAAATCTTCTTTATTTTGAAAAATGTTGTCACTGCCCTATTTCAAATCGTACAGTTTGTTAATAAAACATTTTTAAATAGTGATGAGTCGGTACTACCGAACCGGGAATTTTGTAACGGGTACTTAGTTGTAATGGGTACTGAAAATTGGTATGTCCAAGTACCCGTTACTTCAGTACCGAAATCGGTACTTTTCGGTATTCGTTACTTCTGTACCGAAACGGGTACTTTTCGGTATTCGTTACTTCTGTACCGAAACGGATGCTTTTCGATATTCGCTACTTTGTAACGAAAATATGCGTGCGTCTCTTCTCGGTATTTCGGTATTCGTTACTGGAGAATCGATGAGGGTTCAGCTCACTTCGGTTTTGGTACGAGGACAGTAGTATCTGGTTGTATTTGCGAAATGGTGATATGCGCTTCTTGTGTCCATGAATTGCCTGCTCCTCAGACACTTCCGTAGTTGACATGTTTTCTGATATTCAAAATCTTACTCCGTACAGATAAAATCAAACATGTGGTGACGTGGCAGAGTTTCTTCAGTGCGCAAAATCGTTAGCTGCGTATTTCGGTACTCCAAATCGTTACTAGGGTACTCCGGTACAGCAAACCGTTACTCCGGTATTTCGTTACTTCGGTACTCCAAATCGTTACTTGGGTACTCGGTACTTGAAATCGGTTTTCGGTACTTTTCAAAGTAAAGGTTACTTGAGTAACGGGTATTTTGTACCGGGTACTTGTCTGTACCCGTTACTCTCGTACCGGGTACAAGAAAGTACCGAAGTTGCCCATCACTATTTGTAATAGTACATGGAGAGTGTAGCGCTAGGGTGCTTGGATCTAAGGACCCTACCCCTAATCGAATCAATACGTTGTTCGGAATTACTACAACAAGAAATAACTGAATGGAAAATAGAGTACGTATGTATATATTTACATAAGTTTTTTTAATAAGTCGAGATAAAAGTAATTATCTGTTATTTAGTAGATTATGAATTAGAATAGATAGAGCATACAAAGATTTGAGAAACGTCAACTGGGGAAGCTAGATACCGATAGAGCTAGTGAACACTTATTAAATCACTGTAAACATAAACAAACAAATAAATAAGTGCAAGACCCAAGGTGTGCTAATGTGAAAAATATACATTACAATATATCATAAAGAAATTACTTAGAAGATGAGAGTTGAACGTAAGAGAAAAACACTTACACATGTTGCACATAAAGATACATATATACAGTACACCTTAATTAATCAGTTGGATTAATAAGAATGGCCATTGGCCGTTTCTATAACAGGATTCATTAACATTGTAATCATACACTCGAATGGCAGAATTCTTAAATAATTTTTCGTCACTATAGAACTTTCGAGAAATACGGCAGTAAAGAGTTCTTAAACAGCTCGATAAGTAGTTCTTTGTGTAACTTGTGGTTTCTCACATATCACGGAGCGTCAGAGATTTGCCTTTAGGCAGCTTGTAACTTTTTTCGTAGAGATTAACACGAACAGACCCATACCGGGAAGGCATAATATAATATGTGACGTAGCATGGACTAATAAATGAGTAACTTGTTGTTTATAGAAAAATACTGTTTTGAGGAATAGTGTATGTTTACTCACTCGAAACTTTCTGATAACAGATGTGATGTGTGGGGTCCATGAGGGAGTTTTACTGAGGATCATCCCAAGATAAAGTAATTGCTTGATACAGGGGACTGATACTCCGCAAAGCTGCAGATTCTTCTTGCACTTGTTCTTCTTAGTGAACAGTGCAGCTTGTGTTTTCTCAACGTTCACTTTGAGTTTCCACTTCTTGAGCCAAATTTAAAGTGTGTGTATGTAATCTTGTAATAATCGTTGTATAACTGGACTAACAAATGCAGTTTCTGTGAAGATAGCTTTGTCATCAGCATACATTGCGAGTGTTGTGTTGGGTATCGTAGGGATATCATTCACGTATATACCAAAGAGTCTGGGACCAATAAGAGAGCCCTGGGGGATCCCAGTCTGGATGGCCCTGCGAGTAGAGAGTGCGCTTGCAACGTGAACGGCGAAGTGTCTACCGGCTAGGTAGGATTTAATTATTGCATATAATTTAATTATTTAATTATTGCATATTAATGTATTATATGTATTGATGCACTCTGGGAAACTCAGAGTGTGTAACTTGTAAATGAGGGCATCTAGGCATACACGGTCTAAAGCCTTTGCTATGTCAAGAAATAAGCTTCGAAAGACTTTCATCTGCTGAAGTATTTATTATTAATTATTTCCACAACCCTGTAGAGCTGGTGAGTGGTCGAGTGTTGACTCCTGAACTCGAACTGATAGGGAATGAGTAGGTTATTATTCTCAGTGTGTTGGTTCATTCTTGATAATATGACAGCTTCAACTATCTTGCTCAGAGATGGAAGCAAGTTGACTGGGCGATAAATTTCTGGAGCATTTGCAGACATGTTAGCCTTGAGGATGGGGGTAATTTTCCAACAAAGTATTTGTGAGTTTTATGAACTATGAAATAAAAATAACACTGTCAAATATTAAATGTATTATTATTATAATACAAGGTTACATTCTGAAGTTAAAGAAATCACGCGATTGCCTGTGATGTCATTGTAAGTCGAATAGTTTTCGTTAATGTCAGCATTTTAAATAAATAGCTGTTGTTGGCAACGTTTTTGTAACAGGTTAGGATAACTGACACGATCTGTTATTGCTACGTTAATTCTTTCATTGTGTTAACTTCCTTTTGTAGTTAAATTAATCACTCGTGAAATGGTTGTAAAAGACAAACATTTATTAAAGATAAATCTTAATAACTTACACGTAACGTATTCGTAAACGTACATAACGTAACAAACGTACTTACTGCATCGTACCGTTAAACATTTCAATCGTACACCATCTCAATGTATATTTTTAAAATTATAAATAGAACGAACCCAGAAATTAGCTGTTGCCATTTTCTCAATAGATATTTTGTTATAGATTAATAGTAAATAGATTTATGTTAACTTCCTTTTGGACAACTTAGTGGAACACAGTTATTGGTATTTTATAAGTTTGTTTGACGTTCTAAATATATTTCAAAATTTAAAGAAATGATAAAAAAAAATAAACTCTCTTTCCAAAATGATAAAAATATAACAAAATTTATTTCTATAATAAATATGTTACATCAATTAATGCACATACCTTGAAATTGAAATTCTTTTCAATTTATTTACGTATAGCAAATTCTTGTAGCTTTAAGCTTAGGTTTCAGAATAATCCCACTTCTGATTTATGTTAACTTCCTTTTGTAGTTAAATTAATCACTCGTAAAATGCTTGTAAAAGACAAACATTTATTTAAAGATAAATCTTAATAACCTACACGTAACGTATTCGTAAACGTACATAACATAACAAACGTACTTACTGCATCATACCCCTAAACATTTCAAGCGTACATCATCTCAATGTACATTTTTAAATTTATAAATAGAACGACATCCAGAAATTAGCTGTTGCCATTTTCTCAATAGATATTTTGTCTAATAACATTTAAATAATTTACAATCGTGCTTACATTAATTATATTTATGTTAACTTCCTTTTAGACAACTTAGCAGAACACAGTTATTGGTATTTTATAAGTTTGTTTGACGTTCTAAATATATTTCAAAATTTAAAGAAATGAAAAAAAAAATTAACTCTCTTTCCAAAATGATAAAAAAAATAACAAAATTAAATTGTATAAAAAATATGTTACATCAATTAATGCACATACCTTGAAAT